GTGCTGTTTCCCCAACTCCCCGCAGCTCAAAATTAACAACAGGAGTTTCAAGCTGTTGCGGTTGCTAGGAGAGGTGTGTAACTGCTATATATATTATGTAGATGGGATAAGATTAGATGATGAAGATAGTGGGAACTTCAAAAGACCGACAAAAACTAATCCCACTTATTCATTCAGGGCGGCTTCTCCTACGTCTACCTCGTTCAGGACAAAAACACCGCAGAGCTCTTCGCCCTCAAAAAGATCCGCTGCCCCTTCGGCCAGGAATCCGTCTCCCAAGCCCTCAAAGAAGTTGAAGCATACACCCTCTTCTCCCCAAATAGATACATCATCCACTCCATCGACTACTGTGTCTCCACCGAATCCGGCTCTAAATTCCGCGCCGATGGCGGTGACCCAGGCTCCAAGACCGTCTACATTCTTCTCCCGTACTACCAGCGCGGCAACCTGCAAGATGCCATCAATGCTAATCTGGTCAACCACACCTCGTTCCCGGAGAAGAAGCTGATGACCTTCATGCTCGGCGTGGCCAAGGCGCTCAAGGCGATGCATCAATATCGCGTCAGAGGTGGTGCGGGTGCGGTGAAGAAAGCGAAGATGGTTAGGAATGAGGCAGACGCTGCGGATGCGGACGCGGCGGCATCTCGTGGACGGCCTGCAAGAAGAAACACTCGTCGCGATAGCGATGACACGGAACACGAGCCGTTGATGGATGGGGAGGTTACCATTAGCCAGGAAGGGGTGGATGAGGGTGGTTTCCGCCCATATGCGCACAGAGATATAAAGCCAGGTATTTTTTATTTCAACCAATGCGCTTTTTTTTTTTTTTTTTTTTTTGGCTACAATACAGAATTTAATAAATAGAAAACAAACAAATAAATCAAAAAACTAACAATTCCCACAAAAACCAGGAAACATCATGATTGACGACGACGGCCTAACCCCCATCGTCATGGACCTAGGCTCCCTCGCACCAAGCCCCATCGCCATTACCTCCCGCTCTCTCGCCCTCGCCGTCCAAGATACAGCCGCCGAGCACTCCACAATGCCCTACCGTGCCCCAGAACTCTTCGACGTGAAAACCGGCTCCATCATCGATACCAAGGTCGACATCTGGTCGCTAGGCTGCACCATATATGCCTGTCTGGTGGGTAAAAGCCCCTTCGAGGCCCGTAGTGACGAGACCGGTGGTAGTTTGAGTATGTGTGTGTTGGGTGGGGACTGGAGGTTTCCGGATGAGGACCAAGACCAAGGGCCGAAGGGGAAGGGGAAAGGGGTTGTGGGCGTTGGCGCTGGCGCTGGCGCTGGGGAAAGCGAAGGGGAAGGGAGTGCTTCTGCTGCTGCTGCTACGGGCGGTTCACCGGGTAAAAAAGGGGGGATTAGCGAGGCGTCAAAGGAGGTGGTGAGGAGGTGTTTGCAGGTTGAGCCGGCGGATCGACCGGATGTTGATGAGTTGATTGAGCTTTTGAAGGCGACTATTGAGGAGTTGCCGGATGATGACTGAGGTGGTTGTTGTGTTGGGGTTATTTTTGCGTTTTGAGTCTTTTATGTCCTTCTTCTCGTTTTGGTCTCCCCCAATGAAGGAAGGGTTGTTGTTATTTTGGCTCTGGTGCTCCTTTTTCCTTTCCTTTTTCTGAAGCGAAACCTTTCTGGGGAATTTTCACGAGTTCATGTTCTTTTGCTTGATCATTTTAGGGAGATCTTCTTGATGTCTTTTTGGCCTGTTATGTTTTCCCGCTGTTTTCTTTCTTTCTTTTTCTTCCTTTCTCTTTCTTTCTTTCTTTTTTTTATTTTTTTATCCAAAGCTTTTGGGACCGGTTATGTACTAGATGTACGCTCCAACGATTATTTTACCTTCTTTCCCTCCCTGTCTATCTGCATTGCTTGTTCATCCTCTATTTCTTTCTTTCTCTCTCATCCCTCTTGTCTATAGATGTTCACATGTATATCTACTCTCGTAATGTTCTCCTGGACGTCGCGGATATTAGACAGGCAACCATCTAAAGCCCCGCAAAGCGGGACAAAATAACTATTTCTTTATAATTTAGAAGGGACAAGTAAGATGCAGCGGATTGTAGCTTGGAACGAATTTTATCGTAATATCATCATGTAGCATAAATTTGACTTTCTAGTTTCTTAAGATATGTCGTCTGAGTTTATGGATGGGTTCTCCCAGACCCCCCTTTGTCCTTTCTTGAGAAGAGATTTCTTTCATTGACGCATTTAAAAAGCCCCCCGCGAAAACAGCGGAATCCAAACACCATCCTCGTTAAAATAACCCCATGCCAAATCACAAAACTGAGCCCCTACTCCGTCACCGTCAACGTCGCCATATTTCTCACAATCGCTCCCTCCTTCCTCGCCGGAAACCCATCAGACCCATCCTTATCCAACAACAGCGGCAACCCAACATGTTTATTAATCCAATTAAGCACTGTCCGATACCAAACAAGCGAATTCTCAGGCTTAAGCACCCAATGGTTCTCATCAGGGAACATCAAGAACGCACTCGGCACGCCTCGCATCTGCAACACGTTGAATGCCGCCAACCCTTCCGCGATCGTGAGGCGGTAATCCAGCTCGTTATGGATGATTAGGTGCGGCGTCTCCCACTTATCCAGGTGCAGCGAGGGGTCCCAACGGTCCCAGTTCTCGGGGACCTGCCAGTATACGCCCTTCAGATCCCGGATGGGGAAGTACAGCTCTTCGGCCGCGAGGGAGAATTTCGTGCTGAAGATCCCGTCGTGGGTGACTAGGGCTTTGAATTTGCGGCCTAGGTCGTGGCCCTGGATCCAGTTCACCATGAAGCCGCCGTAGGAGGCGCCTAGGGCGACGGCGCGGGCGGTGTCGACGTAGTGGAGTTCCTTTTCGATGTAGTCGAAGCCGCGGGCGATGTCTTCGTATGGTTTGCCGCCCCACTCGTTCTGGATAGCGTCTGTAAATGCCTGGCCGTACCCGGTGCTGCCTGTAGGGTTGGGCGTGATTACTACGTAGCCCTGCTCTGCGAAAACGGCAGGGTTCCAGCGGGTGTTCCATTGGTCGTTCCATGCGCCCTGCGGGCCACCATGGATGAGGTAGCAGAGGGGATATTTCTTTTTCGGGTCGAAGTTAGAGGGTTTGATTACCCATGCGTGAATGGGGTGGTCATCTGCCCCTTTCCACCAGATATCAGAGACTTGTTCGGAGGAGAGGCCCAGGGACGCGCCGTGTCGTGAACCTGAGCAGATAAGTTTGGGTTTTTGGTCTGGCTTCGACAACTCGAGTACTGAGAATGCACTGTTTTCCACGAAGCTCGTGCTGGTTATGAATAGCTTGCTGGATGCTGGTGCGACGCTGGTCACGTATCCGGAATGGGTCAGTTTGGACAGGTGGCTTGTAGAGACCTTGGTGTAGTCAGTCAATGGAAGCCTGAACACGGTCCCGCAACCGGTGTCTTCAACCCGGACAAATAGTTCTGAATCGTTCTCACCCCATGTAAGTGAGCTTGGGCTCAGGTTCCATGAGCCAGAGCCATCTGTATTTGCAAAAATCTCAAGGGATTGAGGCTGTTCAGCCCGCCAGTCAAAAACACCAGGGACAAGAATGATCCTGTTTTTATCCGATTCATATCCGTCTTCTCTCATAGCTAGAATTGCGAGTGTTTTGGACACCGGGGATATAACTGGAGATGTTATCGCCCCTTTCAAGCGATCGAGGGAGAGTGCTTTGGCGGATATTGGTACCGCTTGCGTCCAGGACCCTGCATCCATGTTGCAAATGAAAACAACACATTTGGTGTGCAGGGCCTGATTTAAATTCGGATCCTTGGCCACAAACACAATACCATGCGGACAGAGATCGAAATGATCTGTTCCACCAAAAGGCGGAATCGGTGATTCTATCTCGGGCCAACCGATAAACTTGAAGAGGTTTTTCAACTCTGACAATTTGTACCTGGACTGCTTATCCTCGGCCGACGAGGAAGTCTTTTGTAACGTCCCGAGCCAAATTGCATTTTTCTGCGGTGTAATATACTCGTCCCAATGCCTGACGAACAGCGATGTATACAATTTCCCTGAGCTAAGGGGCTTTTGCGCAGTGGATGGATTATATATCGACCCATCTGGATTGGCCTTCCCAGAAACCGCGAGACCCACGAGCCCAGGGGAGAGAGTAGTGAGTTTCAGATTCGACACAGGAGCGGATACCGTCCCTGCAACATATGGATCTTCCTTGCGCTGGCCACATCCGACAATGAAATTGGTGCTTCCCTTCTCCCCGTCCTGCAGCCAGACGAGCTTGTCGCCGTCACCCAACCATTGCGGAGATCCGTGGTAGGAATTTGTCAAGAGAAGGGAGCTGCCAGTTGCAACATCGAGGACTCGAAGTTCTGAGGTTGTCGCGTGGGTCTCGAACGAGTATACTGTCTGCGTGTAGGCCAGCAAAGTACCTGATGCATTTGGGATGGCAGCGGAGCGGCGAGGAGCGCTCAGCATTACCCTGTGAGCAGAACCCATGTTAGCTTCAGGATGGAGAGAATATCATTGTTTCTTTCGTATACTACAGCTCTAGCTATGGACCTGGGGGAAATAATTACTCTGGCGTAAACTTCAGCGCACGAATAGTCATGATGCTATATCACGGCAGCAGAACCGGTCTAGATAGATACGAACGATGTTTTTAGGTTATTGTTGCTTATACGACCCGGAAAGAGGATAGCCGTGCGTCTGGAAAGCTTTTGATTAATAGGATTGTTTGCAATGAACGCTGAACTTGAAGCTGTTGGAGCAAAGCCTTTGTTTCCTAGAATCCCAGGTGAGTTCCCAAGTCTCGCTGCTCTTCTTCGGATCACGGGCATTCCCCCTGTTCTGACAACGGATGGCGCGGGACCTTCTGAGCTTGCTTGTACAGTTGTTAATTCTATGTAACCCCGCGTTGCGCCTGCTTAGTGATACAGCTGCTATTATTAGTTAACCTCAGCACATTTAACATTCCAAGGCTCGAAAAAATATAAAATACAACGTAAATCTAACTTTAATAAGAGAACCCTCCAGATGTAGAGATCATGTTTGTCTATCTTATATAAAGTTATAGGAACTGAGCAGTTTGCAACTTCAGGCTCATTTCAATTCAATCGACAAATTCTGATCCAAACAAAATCATTTTAAATTTTTTCTCAAAATGGAAACCGTAGCAAAGCCGTTTTTAGTAGACAAATCCATACATTACATACACAGTACACTCCGTACAGTCTAAACAAAAGGGCGGAGAAAATGAAAATCAACTTTCGGAGGTTAAATTTTTAAAAAAATAACAAAACGACATTGCCTACTCCGATCCTTCATCCTCATCCTCATCCTCATCCTCATCTTCATCCATTCCTTCCGCAGCCGTTATCTTGAAGGACGGATCTTGGTCAACACCCACATAGCTATCGCTCATCAAGAACAGCGTTAGCTCATGCTCACCAGGCGTCGGAACAATGTACTCCAGTTTGAGCTGCAATTTCTTTCCAATTGTGACCCGTTTGGTGGCCAGGAGGCTATTTGTCTTTTCTTCGCCCACTACCAGCCACCAATTCTCCATCTTCTTGCCCGGATAGAACGGAGCAGACACGGTAGTATCAACTTCTTCGTCTTCCTCAACATCCCTCTCAATCCTGATATCGATATAAGCGGGCTCGCCAGCGGTGATGTTTTCTTCGTCTAGAACAGTAAAGTCGAGATCAATGTTGGGATACTTGTTATTCGTAAACTCTGCCGCCTGTGCTAGCTGCTTGTTGTCAAGACCCAAGCGTTTGACGAGAGTTGCATAATCCTTGTTCTCCGATGGGTCCATGGCTTCCATGAACTCGAAGATGTCCTTGATTCTACGGGTGTAAAGGTGGTTAGTAGCTGCGAATACAAGTATTACCAAGGGAAGGAGGAACATACTGGAACTCATTGGCCACCATGATGACCTCGGGGCCGAAATGAGGAATTTGCTTCAATGGACTATCCCGGTCCCACATAGCTTGAACAACCATCTGTGACATTTCCATCGCATTCATCGCGTTCAAGTGGCCCTCGGATGACAGAACATCCACACAAGCACTCAGGAGGTTCAACACTTTGCCCACAATCATTTCTTGATCTTTGCCAAGATCGATCGGAAGCTGCATGCGCGAGAAATGTGCCTGCAAAAGGACGAATGCCTTGAAATGTGGTGAGTCGTAGACTGGCTGCGACATCTTGACTGGTACCCTATCATACACGCGACGGAGAATATGCTCTTCGTGGCGTCGAACCTGGATCATTTCAAACTCAGTAGCAGATGTCACGATTTCAAGAATGCCCTTCAGCTTGGTTCTGGCTGTTAGAGAAAGCAAGAACGTTTGCATGGTGATGAACGAAATGTTGTAGTATGCAGCAATCATTGCAGCATTTAGTGGTGAGAGTGTATCATCCTCCTCGTCCAGGTCGATGATCTTGGCTTCAGAGAGCTCCTTAAGGGTGTTCTCAACCAACTCTGAGAGGAACGTACTTAAGCCTTCGTGGCTCACATCAGTTAGGCCGTAGTAGCTAGGATTTGCGAGGAGACGGCGATAGAAATAGGTGTATGTCATCCAATCAACAGCATCTTGTGTAGATGCAATAGTTCGAGTGCTGATCTCGGTGACAAACGCATCGTGAAGGTATATCTGCAAATGGCTCTCTATTGGTAGTGCTTCATTTAGGAATTTCTTGTAGTAGTCGCGCTTGACGGCGGGAACCATAAGCACGCCCCTTCCACTTTTGTCCTCAAGAGGGCGGGAAGCTTTCCCGAACATTTGGAGTATCTCACTGATAGGATAGTCGATATATCGATGCTCTCGGCCATCAAAGAATTGGGTATTCATGATAATAACGAGATGTGCATTGAAATTGATCTCCCAACAAACATCCCTAGAGGCTAGCATAACTTGTATCGCACCGATTTTGAAGAGATGTGTCACAATGCGCTTGTCGCTGTTGCTGAGAGCCTCATGGTAATAGCCAATTCCGTGTGATATAGATTCTGCCAGTGCTTGCTCGTCGATTCGCTTTAGCAGGGGGGAAATCTCTTCAACGTCGGCATGTAAGAATCTGTCCTCATCATCTGCGGCAATGCAAGCAGCCAGCAAATCTAAAGCAGTTGAGCGTGTCTGTTTTCGCGTAGGTACAAACACTAGCGCCGGTTTATCAGGAGAAAGCTGCAGTATCGATGCAAAGACAGGTTTTGCCATGGCAAGCATGAGAGATGGGAAATGAGGGATCGTGTAGGACTGAATGTGCAGCTCTAATGGAACAGGGCGTACGTGGGGGCTAAAATTGTAAATAGTATGCTTTTTAGCTCCTAGCCATTCCCCAATGTCCCGGGCATTGGACAGAGGGACACTCAGCCCAATCATCCGGAGGTCTTTTTCAGTCTGAAGGGCAATATAATGCATCCGCGAAACAACAACCTCATAGATGTAGCCACCCTGACCACCAAGCATGTGCAGCTCATCGGCGATAAAGAGCTCAACGGCTTGTACATTCTTGCGGCGCTGCCACTGCCGTGAGAGGACATCCCACTGAATGGGCGTAGCAAGTACTAGGTCGGCTTGCTCGAGAATTTTCAAATCTGCAGTGGTTTCTCCTGTGAGTTTCAGAATGTTCTTCCCACCGTTGAGATTGCCTAATCGGGTTTGCCAATCGGTCACACGATAGTCGATCAATTCTTGGAAGGGAGCAATATAAACTGATTTGCCAGGGTTGGGTTTTAACCAATGATGAAGTAGAGCAAACTCCGCACAGACTGTTTTCCCACTCCCGGTAGGGGCTCCTAGGAAAACATTGTCATCCGTGTCGAACAATGATTTAAAAGTCTGTGTCTGCACCTTGTTAAAATGGTCCCAGGAAGGATAAAGCGTTTGGTACTCAGGTCGTTTAAGAGCTTTGACTGGTACCCGCTGCATATCCAACAATGGCGTATGAGCAGGAAAACGCTCTGGTAGAATAAGCTTCTGGAATGAAACAGGTATCTTCGTCTCCGAATGCATCCATCGATCCGAAACGAGTGAAATAAAGTAATTCGGCGGCATTGGTTCTGTTATTGGTACAGTGAACTCGACTAAATGCTCATTCATTTCTGAAACTGCAAACTCTTTGCGAAGGATAAATTGGTCGTGGAAAAGGATATCTTCGCCATCACAATCCTCCACAATAATCCAGAAGCTTTCTACGGCACCATGAAGATCATCATCCCAGGTGAAATTAGGCGTGATGGTGAGTTCCACACGTAGCATTGACCGCGTCATTGGTTGAACTTGGGCTTGCACCTCGAGGCGCGGGAACTTCTGGACGAGGCCGCAAACTAATTGACCTGACTTAGAACTGCCCAGTAACTCTCCCATGCGAGGGGGATCCAGATCAAAATATGTTGACCAAGGAACATCAATCCTTTCGGACTTTTGCAAGATTTCGCGGGGGCACGACGGAAACTGACGAAGAGGGGACATGGTTGGCCACATGCGCTTTTCTGCCATTTTGCAGAGGTTGAGGGCAGTTTTGGCGACAGAGGCCCAGCCTTTTCTTAGCGTAATTTCGAAAATTGCTCGAAGAATACGACCCGCAGATTGGGTGACATATACCATATCTGCCATTAACGCTAGCCCTTCTAGCTTCAAACGAGATATGTAAGCCTGCAAGAGGACATTGATTTTTGCGTGAGGTTCCTCAATGCCTTCCTTCACTGGAATTGGGACACGACCAAGTAACTTCGCTAGCTCTAGCTTTTCATCCTGTCGAACCGGAATGTATTTGAACTCGTCGCTGAGTGCAAATATACGGAACAGCTCGATTGTGGACACCATAGGTTGAAGGTGGTAGTTATATGTACTCATAGAACTATGCGTGATATAATAATGCGAAGCGATACGGCCAAGTTCGGTAGATTGGAGTCTTCCGGTTTTTTTCTCATATTTGACAAGGTTAGCCTTTTCGAGTACTGTTGCTGCAGAGTGGATGAGATCTACGCGTCGTTGTTCGAGAGCTTCATCGTTTTCGTAATCCGTGCCAACACTGTAGAGACCAGGGGATCGAAGCATTCGGACGAATAAGTAAGTGTAACCGAGCCAGTCCACTCCCTCGTCACGATTGCGTACATTTCCAAGCACAATCTCAGCGTTTAGATTATCCGCAAGCTTGCTCATCAGCTGGCTTTCGATAGGAAGTTGCTGGTTCAGCAAAGATAGGTAATATTGCATTTCGGTCTGGGACGTAATGATGATACCCTCTCCAAACGTATCGTATTGCGGTCGGCCGGCACGGCCAAGCATTTGAAGCACATCCTGGGGACTTAACTCAACCCAGCTGCCTTTCTCCGGCGAGTACACTTGTGTACCTTTGATAATGACTGTATGGGCTGGAAGATTGACACCCCACGCAAGGGTAGCAGTACAGACGAGAACTTGCAAACTGCCATCCGCGAATAGCTCTTGAACGGAGGTACGATCAGCCAAACTCATTCCGGCATGATGTATACCGAAACCGTATGGCATAAGGTCTTTTAATGCAGGGTCGTTGACCGCATCAGCTTCTTCCGTGAGAATAGCCCGGCTGGCTGCGTCACTTCTCAAAATTTGTCCAATAGTTTCCATCTCAACAGCCTTGTCTCGAATGTACCGGGCTGTCTTTGCCGTTTCTTTTCTCGAGTGGACAAAAATTAGCATTTGATTCTTATTTGTACCAACTTGCTCAAGAACTTTCGTATAGCAAACATCATTCATAGTTTTCAGCTGTTTAATGGCCTTTTTATCGGTCACACCAATAAATTCTTGCTTCAGTGGACACGGTCTGTATGAACCATCGAAGTGGAAAAGGGCATTGATAGGATCAACGCGCAGGAAGCTGCCCACGTCACGATAGTTAGGGAGCGTAGCACTCAGACCAATCAGTCGCACTGGGTCGCCTGTTTGTTCAATTTTACGTATTGTCCTGCTCACTATACTTTCTAAGACGGGCCCTCGGTCATCATGGAGCAAGTGGATTTCATCGATGATAATAAGTCGTACAAGGCGGGTATAGCTGGTATCGGTCGCTTTTCTCGTGATAACATCCCATTTCTCAGGCGTGGTCACTATAATCTGGGTATCAGCTATTTGTTGTTTGGTAAGTTGCCGGTCACCAGTAAGTTCCGAGACGCGAATACCGTAGGGCTTTAGCCTTTCGCCGAAATTCCCTACTTGCTCCTGAACAAGCGCTTTCAAAGGTGCGATGTAGACAATTTTGAAGTCATCTAACATGATCTCGCCAGTGTCAGGATTGCGATTTTTCCCAATTTCACGTAGTATTGCAAGCATGGCGACATTGGTTTTCCCAGAGCCTGTTGGGGCACAAACGAGCATGTTCCCATCATCTTTGAAGGCCGTTGGGAAGCACTTTGTTTGGATGCGGTTGAGCTTTTGGGAGTTCCTAAATCCGGGACGTGCCCAATCTGGAAGATCTGAAATGGGAATAAGACGTTCACCTGGGTCCCTCTTTGGCTTCGGAGCTGGGACGTGAATTTCTTCATATCCTTTAAAGGTTCGTTTTGTTGAACCTTGTGGCAATTTGACATTGGGGTTAGTCATAAGGTGATTTCCTTGATCAAACACAAGATTATCGAGGTTGATGAGCTTTTTTGGCTGGAGTCCGCCCGTTAGAACACCATCTTTTGGCTTAGATTCAGCTTGGTCTGGTTTGGGCCCGGGAATATCAATGTCCATTAGGTCAACCTTCATCCTTTTCCCAGGTCGGTCGGCCGCTGCTTCCCGAGACGACTTGCCATGTAATTCATCCAAAATGTCACGGTGACCGGCCTCAATCATTTCTTTCTCAAGTGTGGTTTTGGCCTCGGCATCCTCCGCTGTCCGCCTCCATTTGGTCACCCAGACAATTCTATCCCGATTCATAATGAGCTTTCCTACTAGCTCTGGGTAGTCGTAATCAAAAAGTTCCATCAGGTCATTTTCGACATCACGTAGCTGCCTTTCATTTCCATCTTCTGACTTTTCCCCCATCATCCGCAAAGCCTCTTGAGTCTTTTCTTGCTGTATATGTGCGTCGTTGTAAATCGATCCAATCTCTCGCTGGAGCCAATACGCATCAATTTCACGAATTGGGACGAGGTTCGAGCGACTCTTGGTTTTGTCATCACGAGATGCTTCCACGGCGCCATCGATTACTATTTCTTCATCGGGTGTGCCCGCCTCATCATTTTCAGCAGCGGCACCGCCAGCGGTTGCAACCTCTTCTAAACCGGGTTGATCCTCTTCGTCAGACATGTCCTCGTCGGAAGGCTCGTCCGCATCTCGAACCTCGCGAGCCATATTATCTTCATCTTCGTCCGATTCATCGAAAACCACAGCTACACCTTGCCTCTCATCTAATTCCTCCCCACCCTGTATACCATCTGCGCCGTTTTCCATATTTTCGTCTTCATCTTGCGCATCGTAATCTGTGATTTTCTTCCCTAGGTTGACAAGCTCATTAAACTCTTTCGCTCCCATAGTACTTCCAAGTAGGTCATCAATCTCTTTTTTTTTGTCGAAGTCCTTCATATTTTCATCTTTTAAGAGCTCTAGTACAGCATCTGCAGCACTTCGAATAACCTCGTGAGACACGTCTCCTAGATGGTTTGAAGTCATCGTAAGGATTAAATCATAAGTTGCTCTTGTCGCAGGAGTTCTCGGTCGATATTTTAGGCCTTCGATGAGCGCGTCTGCTGCCGACAAGATACCCACGCCCCTCAGCTGTGCCTGTTCTCCTCGCTTTCGTTTTCGTTGCTCTCGTTGCAAAACATCTTCGCCTTCTCGAATCGCACCTCGTTCGATATTCTTAGGGGCCACTGGAGCCTTCCTGATTTTTGTAGCATCCGCACCTGAGGCCCGCGTGCCCATGTCCTTGATATTAATGCGACCGGCGAGAGACTCCGGGTCGCCCGTAACCTCATCTGTGCGGCGAGTTACAAAACGACGGTCCGCCTGGAGAACCAGGTTGGACATCGCCGAGTACTTGTACTGCGACACATTATTTGGATCCGCCATCTTGACTGCCGTACCAGAATATTGTCAAGAGCTGTTTCGCGCTGGTTGACCGTAGCGTAGATGCAGTCGAAAGGTAGAAGTCTATGAAAACCCTGCAGACAAAGACAGGAATAAAGATAATTCAGGAGCCTGGCCTCATTGCTTGAAATAGCACGCGAAATTCAGGCTCAAGAATGCTTGATTCGCAGGCGCTATGGGTTGTAAAAAAGGGACAGAATCCAGCAAGAGAAAATGCTATTTGTTGAAGCCTGAAGACGTCGAAGTTGAAGCTTTGATGCTCACGGCCGAAAAGGGACTAGCGCCTATTTAACATCTAGCCGGTGCTCTGCTCAAGGCGCGTCAACCCAACCACGACGCCAAAATATAAATTCCGAGATAAACCAGGGGAAGCGGATGCAACGACACAGCCTGGTTTGTGGATATGGTGGATAATGTCAATTTACCTATCTCGTGGACGGCAGCTGAAACGCCCTCTACTGTCAATTTCTTTGCATTGCTGCCCTGCCCGCAATGCTCCCCTTTCGCGCCGCGGAGTGCTTCCCTTGGAGCTCAATCGCGGCGCAAAGAGAAAATCTACAGCCAAACTTAAGGATCTTCCTCAAGGGCGTTTGGAACCAATAGAACCGTATGCTCCTCTCGTTAACGATGCTCCTCAGTATCCGACGGTGATACAAGGCGCAAAAAACAATATGCTGAAGTTTAAGAACTGTGTACTGCTCACGAGGGTGGGAAACTTCTACGAAGTACGGATATCCTTTTCACTTGACTTGTCGATGAACTAGTAGTGACATACCCTTTCTCATTGCAGCTCTATTTCGAACAAGCGGAGGAATACGCCACGCTGTTGAATTTGAAACTTGCCCAGAAGAAGACAAACGCTGGAGCCGTGCCTATGGCTGGCTTTCCCTTTTTCCAGCTCGACCGATTCCTTAAAATCCTCGTTCAAGACCTTAACAAATATGTTGCCATCAGTGAGGAATTTGCCAATAATGTTGTTGGTAAAGCGAAGTCCGGGGGTTTGCAGTTCGACCGTAAAGTCTCTCGAATTGTCACTCCGGGAACATTGATAGACGAGAAGTTTATGGATCCTTACGAGAACAACTTTCTACTCTCAGTATATATGCCCACAACTCTCCCAGAAGAAACGGAAACATCATCGCCTGAACAGCATTCTTCTATGTCGGGCACTCAGCTCATTGGCCTCTCTTGGTTAGATTTATCCACTGGCGACTTCTTTACCCAACAGACGAAAGCGCAGATGTTACCGTCTGCTCTAGCTAGGATTGGTGCTAGGGAGATAGTCATAGACCAGAATGTCGGGCCAAAAATAAGACAAGAACTACAAGCTATTGTCGGACAAGACCAGCAGCATCTGATAACGTCATTTAGCTGTCCAAATGAGATGAGGACTTTAGCAGAGTGGGGTTCCATTTTTGAGTCTCCGATACCTCTTGAGGTAGCTTCCATGTTCACTATGGAAGAAACAGCGGCCTGCAATATATTGTTGGAATATGTCCAAGTTCAAACGCAGGGAGTGAAGATGAAACTCCAAGCGCCCCGCCGTAGGCATTTAGATGAGTCCATGACTATTGACCGTAATAGCCTAAGAGGGCTTGAGATTTTAGAAACTGCTCGAGACGGGCTTGGAAAAGGAAGCCTTCTCCATGCTGTGCGGCGTACTGCGACAAAAAGTGGAGCTCGATTGCTCAGGGACCGGCTGAGTACGGATTTACTGTCTATTTTATTTTTATTTTTGGTTCCTCGTGCTTGCATTCGGGATCACGATAGGCTAACACTGCTCTCCAGCTTCACCTTCCGCTTCATTACACGTTATCAATGAGCGACTTGATTTAGTATCCAAGTTCCTTGAGGATGAAGATCTACGCCAAAACATCATACTCCTCCTTAAACGTAGTTTCGATGCTCAACGACTAGTTCAAAAGTTCTCATTAGGCCGAGGGGATCCGGACGACCTACTTTGCCTGTCAAAAGCAATCCAAGCGTCGCAGGAAATAAAATCAGTTTTACTCCGGCATATCAATCAGTATGCTAATAAGCCTTCTGATCTGACTAGCAGTTTACGCTCCATGCTGGACCGTTTAAATCTCGATGGCCCCGAAACTCTTTCACAGAGGATACTGGCGGCGATAGACGAAGAGGGCCTTCTCCAAAAGCAAAGAATCGAAGACGATGCCGCTGCAGACGCTGCGGCTCTCGCTCAGGAAGTGATTTTAAATGAAGGGTCGTCAGAAGACCTAGAAGCCATGCCTAAGCCGGTCAGAACCCAACGAGCCGGTAGGCAAAAGGATTCGAACGGCACTGAGCAGGCAGATCGGACCACATGGATCATGCGCCGGGGGGCAACTAAGAATTTGCAAAAGCTACATGATGCTCTTGATCTCCTTCTAGCGGACAAGTCCGAACTAACAAAGACGTTGCGAGAGACCGCTGGGACTGAGAATTTAAGTCTCAAGTGGACACCTGGGCTTGGCCACATTGTTCACATGAAGGGAGTAAAAGCATCGCAACAGTCAGTTGAAGCGTTGGGAGCAACGCGAACAGTCTCTTCATCAAAATCAACACGCTCCTTTTATCTAAGTTCCTGGTCACAATTGGGAAGCAGAATTGACGATGCAAAGTTCCACATACTGTCCGAGGAGCAGCGCATCTTCGAAGAGTTACGCGAAGCGGTGATTTTGAATCTTGTGAAGTTACGCCGAAATGCTGCTGTCTTGGATGAACTCGATGTTGCGTGTTCGTTCGCCAGCCTTGCTGAAGAACAGCAGATGGTTCGTCCTGTAGTCAACAATAGCAGAAGTCACAAAATAGTAGGCGGGAGACATCCGACAGTTAAACTTGGGCTGGAAGAACAAGGGCGTCCCTTCGTTAGCAATGACTGTTTTATCGGGGAACAGGAACGGATATGGCTCATAACGGGGCCGAATATGGGTGGAAAAAGCACATTTTTGCGCCAAAATGCTCTGATTACCATCCTTGCACAGGTTGGATCTTTCGTACCGGCGGAGCATGCAGAGATCGGTATTGTGGACCAGATATTCAGCCGCATTGGTGCTGCAGATGATCTCTTCCGGGACCAGTCAACATTTATGGTGGAGATGCTGGAAGCAGCGACGATTTTGAAAAACTCTACATCACGCTCCTTTGTGATTATGGATGAAGTTGGGCGAGGGACAACGCCTGAGGATGGAACAGCCGTGGGGTTTGCTTGTCTACACCACCTCCATAACGTCACTCAATGCCGTACTCTATTCGCTACCCACTTCCATGTGCTGGCGGACATGACCGCTCAATTTGAGCATTTGGGTCGATACTGCACGGACATAAATGAGGACCCTTCGGGGTCTTTTTCATTTGTCCACAGACTGAGAAGGGGTGTGAATCGAGAGTCTCATGCTCTAAAGGTCGCACGGCTAGCGGGTCTCCCAGAGAGTGCCATTGCCGTTGCAAAGGATGTGTTGTGCAAGCTATCACATGGCAGAAGTTTTGAACCTAATGAGGCGGTCTCTTCTCCTGACAGAGCTACTCGGGGCGGCTCCTGATGTTTTATTATACCATTTTTTTTTATCTCAGATCATAATATGCCTTTTAATCATCTGATTCCCCCTCGTGAAAATACTCAATCATATTAGCAATTTGATTCCCCACGAGCCGAAAATTAACGAAGTGTACATATACTGAAATTTCCGCTCATAACTTAGCCACCTCATCCTCATACTCCTCCATCTCCCTTATATCCACATCCACATCTACATCAACAACAATCCCCTCATCAAACGCAACCTCCTGACAATCATCCTCCGCAACCCCATTCGCAAACTGCACCACTACGAAGTCCACCCGACGTCTCCCCACCACTACCATTGGCGCATGCCAAGTGGCAGCCCCATACGTCACCGCTTGACCACCATGCGCAATGAACGCTTTCATATTCCGTAGATCCGGCGGGTCGCGAATGAGAACCTGCTCCTTGCCACCCTGAGCATTGACAACCGTAGCTTGCGCCGTCTGCCCGTGTAGTGACGGTGCGACGATGATGAGGTAACTGGGCACGGGATTGTCATTGCCGCCACCGTCGTTCTTATTGCGCGCTCCCGTAGATAAAGCATTGTTCTCATTATCGGGCCGTTTTCTGTCCACCCCAGATGGTACGCCCAGCGGAATAAACGTCTGCGTAGTAAACGGATGTCGCTCCAGAATCCTTACATCGAAGAGTCCACCGGCAGGCTTTCGTCCCCGGCCCCCTCCTCTCCTCAATGCCCGCGGGAAACACGAGAACATACTCATGCGCGGCTCCCCGTTGCTCCTCTTCCCCTGGCCCTCAGCGCTTGTACATTGGTCGTAATTATTCTGGAATACGGAGATCGGGCTGTATTTCAATGCGGTAGATTGGTTGGCGAGGATTGGAGTAGGGGTATTGGATGGATTTGGATCAGCATCGGGGAGAGAGGAGAGAGAAGAAGCAGGGGGTGCGCGGGTGAGGGTTGCTGGTAACGGGCTAGATATGGCAGTGCCAAACGGATGGAAGGAAAGTAGGGTGAGAGGGGAGGGATGTATGGTCATATTTGATGTAGGGAGAATCGGCGGAGGCATTGTCGATGGTATAGGTATATGAGTTAAGTGTATGATATGTGCAAATTGTCGTTTATTGTTGGGAGTAGGAGCTTTTCATGTCCCTACAGCAGACAAAAGGCGGAGGTTGCCGCCGAGTTGCAAGGGCTCAGGCTGTGGCTGGCGGTGACGTAGTTATTTTTCACTTCGTTAACTAACTACTCCGTACGGAGTAGTTATAAGCTTGTTTGGCTGGTTTGCCTGGAGAGAAGCTCCCCATGGTTTGCCGAGGCATAAAACAACAGGTAAACAACAACTTACGGAGTACAAGATCCATACCATAGTTAACATCTCCAATGTTCTTTCAACTGAATCAAATACAAAGCGTTGCTGGACATGGCATATAATGTTCAAATTACAAGCCAATTGATTTTCGGAAGTGAGATAGCTATCCTATTCATACTTGGGTACCATCCATGCGATCTTGTCTCGTCTCAAGCAATGTGGGCGCATTTGTAGACACCGAGTACTATCCATTTATGTATATGTATATTCCCCAATCCCACTACTATAAGTAGTAGTATTTATCCTCTCGCTATTCATCCTGAATCTTTGCTACCACCTTATTCGCTTTTCCGGCACCCTTTTGCTGATACTGATGCGCCTCAAGTGCATCTTCAAAACCGCCCTTACCCACCAAATCATATGGGGGAGGGAATAATTGACCCCCTTGTTCAAATAATGCCACAAATACTGGAATATACTCAGCAATCCTCTCATTGATATGTTCTGCAGATGGCCGTCCAATCTGCCCTAGCTCAACAAGTTTTGTTTTGCCCCCTTCGAAGTCGGCGATCCCACTCCTAGAAATGCGGTCAGTTCGGAGCTTTAAAGAAACTAAAAAAAAAAAAAAAAAAAAAAAAAAAAAAAAAAAAAAAGAAAATTCAAGAAGTTTGCATGAAACAGTTCTCTATAGCGGTACAAACTCACCATGTGTTTGTCGAGCAGAACAACTTTGGACCCTCTTTGGGAAGCCTTTTAAACAGCTCTTTCGCGAACGCATCGCCCGATGCCGCAGCGTCAAAGACTCGATGTACCTTGCCTTTGGTAATATTAAGGACATCTTTGACCTGCTCCTCTATTGGCTTCTTATAGTCAAACACGGCTGTAGCGCCTTGTCTTTTAATGAGCTACGATGTGGAGTTAACATCATTGTACGATGCCGTGAATATATTTGGGCGGAATATATACGAACTGGAACAGAGCTTGCAGAACACGACGCCATCACCTTATATCCACAAATATTAAAGAGCTACTGTCACCGTCAGCATAGCAATCGAGTGATCTTGAAGGGCGGTCTGGGAAGGATAATATGTACCTGAACCGCGAATTTTCCAACAGAGCTGGCGCCACCTTGAACAATAGCCCATCCGTCCTTTTTTTCAGGTGCGTATTTAGCTTCAAGAACTTCCTGCAAATTTGGCAGTTCCACGTCAAGGCAGTCGAATACTGATAAACCCGCAGTCTACTCTTAAAGTGAGCTTTCATTCGCACATCACGGTACCTGCATTTCATGATGTCTGAGGAAGGAATAGACTAAACACACATACCTCCAGACCAGCACCTATCGTGGCAGCTTCCACAAGAGAAATGTTCTTCGGCTTCGGAATCGTGACTTTGGCATCCATCAATAGCTATATTGCACAGCGCAAGAAGACTACATATTAGTTAGGTGATCGGAAATGGCAATCACCATTCCAAAAACGAAGCCCCGCCAGTTCCGAGCCATGGGTTGAATACGGTAGTGCTCAGTTGGGATACGGTGCGGAGATACTGACATATTCCTGCCCACTATTATATCCCGGATTGCCCAGGCGTGTGCTTCCACAAACATAATCGCCAACTTTAAACATTGAGGCAGCGTTTTCGCCTACTTTTACCACGACGCCTCCAACATCGACTCCAAGACCGAGTGGCCATTCCTGAACGAGCACGCCTAATGATCGCATCAATCCGTCTCTAAATGTAGTAGTTCTGCGTCAGGCCCCGGCTGAGAGGGAGAGAATCATTCTGCCTCAGGAATACCATGCGAAAAAGAAAAAGAAGGCAAACAAAACACAGGGTCGAGAGATAGGGAGTACAGTAATAAGAACCCGATAGATTCTAATGAGATAATAATTAAAGAACAATGAAGACACGCTAGCGCTCGCTATTACACGAACAAAGGCGCTTGTCCGTCCTCCCCCACTCAAGAGGTGAGCAACCTCTGCGCAGGGCGATAAATAAACAAATGAAGAAATAACAAAGGAAAGCCGCCGTGGATAATTTCAATATCTCTAATGAAAGTTCAAGCTTCTAAGGAAAAGTACTACAAACACTGGATTCAAGGCCATATAGATTGATTTGACCAGTATTTGGTCAGCCGATGGCTCAGGAACATCAAGATTGTCCACGATTTTGAAAGGCTCGCCGGCCTTCTCACAAATGATGCCTTTCATGGTTTTCCTTCGATATGAGTTTGGCGAGCTGTTGGTGGAGGTATTGAAAGACGTGGGGGGTCTGATGAGATGATGGGGAGGGGTAACGTAGATATAGATAGATGCCAAGAGCAAATGAAGCGGGGTGGGAGTATACAACAATAAGTTCTGGTAAACGCAAGAGGTATTTATGGACAGTGCAAGTTAGGTTTATTTTGAAAAAACCTTTTGAGACTTTTCCGATTTGTCAGGAGGGGGCATAAATGCCATCAATCATACTGTATACTCCGTCTTTCGGATGATTGCCTGGTCTCGGCTTTTATTTAGGCAACGCCGGTCTCGTATCGCCGATAGAGCAACCGCCAGGGAGCGGAAGAAGCTCGAAACTTGGAAGCTGGTATAAAAATCCTCTGTCCGTGAGTTGCGCTCTTTGGATTTTGACTTCAGGCTAGAGGTGAATCAAGCTGCCTAGAATCCCTCGGAGGCATCCGGCATTCGTTCTTGTTTTGCCAGCATCCCCTCCCCTAGGATAAACTCAGGAGCGGGAAGAAACACAGGCTAAATTTGGTTGGCTGCTTTGTTCTCTTTTTCTTTTTCTTTTTTTCCCGCGTATTAAGATTTAAATGGCTCGTCTTTCTCGAAACATCTGTAAAGAAATGTGGATTCTCAATGCTGGAACCTCGAAGTGATCATGAGTACCAAGAGGTACAACTACGACATTCTTAAATACGCATGTCTCGTTAAATTGACATGATTGAAAGCAACTTATGCTTGAACTTGGCTCTAATCCATGATGTAGTATATGTTACATTAACCAGGAATTAACAAAGAAAAGAGGGAATCAATGAAATAAAGATGAAGAAGGGTACGAAAATGGATAAAGATACAAGGAAACGTTTCCGTGAAAATGGCCTGCCCTGAATTCTAGGAATTTCATAAGCGCCGATAGAGTGATCGCTCCAGCAGCCAATGTATGCTAGATTGCTCATCAACTGATAGCGGCGGGAGGTTTAGGGAGAAGGAGTGCGGAATGATGCTGAAAAGGTCAATTGCCCGCCGTAGTCATAGGTTGTCAATAGATTCTCTAGGATTATAAAACCATGTTCGATCCAAAATGAAATCCCTCCATATACGCCGGTTGATGATTACCCCGAACGCATTCTATAATGCCTCATTTGTTGTGCAATAACAGCGTTCTTAGCGAATCCCAATGGTCCGAGTCCGCGTATCTGGTTCATGGTTAGCCATTTTGTTCATATACTTTAGAATTTAGAATAAAGTATGCGCTTCAGAGTGACGCTAGGTTTTGCTTGACATACATGTACGTCATGCTACTTCGTAGGCTTGATTGAATAGCTGCTGGGTACCAACGGAATAGGTACATGACGAAAGCCCAGCTTAGACTGGCAAAGGCCGGCCACGCGTTGGCATATATTTTATTCCTGGCTTCAGGTGTTATCAGGTGCGACAACCCGTGTGTTCCGGGCTCAACGGCTATTTTTGCCATTGCGAGCACTACACGCGCAAAAACGTATATAACAATCTAAATTGACGTATGTTAGGTTTACTCCGGAGTTTCTTTAGGTTAGATATGTTAATAGATTGGGTAAAATGCTGACCTGTTTGCTGACGCTCCCCGGGGACTTGCCAAAAACGAGATACCCTCCCAGCAGTCCAGCCACGAAAGTATCATATGGGCCCTCCTTACCCCATCCACTTGGCCCTAAATATCTAAGGGCGAGCATGGTAGATTTGTAGATGACTGCGAATAATGAAAGGTTCCGTGCATGTTGCCTCGTAGCTTTGAAAACAAGCCATGTTTTCTCTCGTATACTGGAAAGGGTAATACGATCTGAGTAAACAAGATGATGACATGAAAGAGTAAAGTTGGAGGTTAGGATGGGTGTTAGGCGGTTTATAAATACCTTCCCGAACGGAAAAGAAATATCATCCTACGGGTGTAAAGCAAGAGTTAGCATTCTGAGCTAAGTTAAGAACCATCATATGAAGTATATAAACAATAACTGTGCCGGTCATTGACTTACACCAAGGCATGGGGAAATCGAATCTTGGCACCGTAGACGGCTCCATTGCGAGCGCCTTTGAGGACTGCGAGGAATGGCGCGAGGTCAGGGTCTAAGGCAACTTTATTCAGTTTTTCCTGTAGCGGTCTGTTAATGTAATTGGTTTAGGCGGTCGGTGGAAATCGAAGCGCGTACAATGAGGGAATCCATGGTTTCTCCCTGATCCTCTCAAGCTCCTAAGGCGGGCGAGTAGGTATAATTCGGCTCTCAGCCTCTCTCATGTGCTGGCTGTGCAAATGAATAGTATGTCTCCAATCACGAATGTGTACATGTGGTAGTATGATAGTAAGTAAGTTGACGTTTTCCGGAGAGCGGTTTTAAAAGAAAATCGCGGAAAAGGGTTTGGATGAGGGAAAGGGTTAAAAATCGCGGGTTCACCACATGCCTTTTTGTCCCGCAGCCCTCGGCATGTGATGGCCTTAGCCGACAAGCGCGCACCGACGTCACTGCACACACGTGACCTCCGCGCTTATTCGGGCCGAAAATCAGAACCAGCGACCCGTAGCCTCCTTTTAAGGTTATTCCATCTGCCGCGTTGAGAGACTCTGCCAGCGGATCGATACGATTCCGGCCCTATCAGCAAATAACGGTAGATATGCGGAAACGGCTTACCCAGGAGCAAAAGCACGCCGTGACCGCTGCATTGTTCCGCCAGGAGCCCTATCCCGATATTGCTGCCGCCCACGGCATATCAGAACGACGGCTGCGGGGAATTGCCAGCTGCCTGCGAACATGGGGAACCACACATCCACCAAGGACTAAGCCAATGGGGAGACCAAAAACAATCACGGATGAGATTCAAAAGGTAGGCTATACTACGAACGCTCGCCCTGCTTCTCCGAACATACTATCACTCATTGCTAAATACTAATGACGTCCATGAACCTAGGGTCTAGGTGATTTTGTCAATGCACGGCCCCTTGCTAGCATTGAGGATATGCAATCTTATATACAAAACACCTTCAGTATAAAGTGCAGTTATCGGTCAGTTTCACGTCGTTTGAAGGATATAGGATATACCCGCACCATCATCCAGCGGGGCAATCGTTCCTTGGAAAAGAACAACATACCACTGCTATCTGACACGAATAAATTGCGAATTCAGAATGATCCAGCTGCTCCAGAACTTTTAAATAAGCCCAAGGTTCTATACGCGTGGATACTGAAGCCTTCGAAGCCGAGCCAAAAGCGCTTGAAGGCCGCTGCGCAGGGGAATAATGGACAGCCTTCTGGGGAGGTTTCGGATTACGCGGGAAATGAAGAAAGCCTTGACAGCTTGTTTGATGGGGAGGATTCCGTTACTGATCCGATGCCAATAACAACGCTTCCTTAACAAGCTATCCCACCAACTTCCTCCTGGTAGATATTATATTGAACAGGCCTGTTGACGTACCCAGCGTCGCATAGCAATATCCCTTTGGCACACCCATTCGTCCGGCTTACATTTTGTTTTCGTTTCCACTTTCTCAGCGGGATCTGTAAATATATACACTTTTCTTAATATCATATATTGGAGAATAGAAAAAGGGGTTATGTATTTATATAACTGTTCATCCCTTCAATATATAATCGCTGAATAATAAAACTTTTTATAAATAATGTTACTTTCACACCGCACATTTTGCAAAAATGCCGTTTTAAAACCAGCCAGGCCCAGATATAGAACGCCATGCTAACGCATAATTAAAAAGAATAAGGAAAACCACGGATCCCATTACTTGCCTAAACCCACTTTCGCCTTTTTCCTATTATCGTCTTCAACTACCTCATCCACATCCATCATATCCACATCCTCATCATCGTCATCAACACCGGCTCTCCGTTTCAACCCTTTCATCTTCCTTGTTTGCAAACCAGTAAGATCCTGGCGACCAAGATGGACCCGACCAATCTTATCACCAATAGCATCCATACCGATATTCTTTTTCGTCTTGGCCTCCTCATTCGGTCTCTTCCCTTGTTTCATAGCTTCCTTCATGACATCCTGGTCCGCCTCTCGTACTCTCCCAATTCTGAAATCAAACTTCGGCCCAACTTCATCCAGCTCCACACGCGGAAGTTTTTGTCCACTTTTCTTCGTCCGAATCTTATACCACCTCAAATGAATAACGGGCCGAGTTCCTTCCACAGGTTCCTCCGCCGTAACCGAAAGTAAATACTGCAAACCTTCCACATCGATCTTATCCGTTTCCTCCCCCTTAAACATATCCAAAATCATACTCTTCAGCATCCCATAAACAGGCGACGTGGCGTCCTCCCACGCACTGCCCGCAAATAGCATCATCGGCTTCATCCCAACTCCAATATCCAGCTTCATCTTCTTCATCTCCTCCTTCTCCATCTCATTTCCCTGGTCCCCATGACTGCTCAGCAACAGCATCTCGCACATATCCAGCACCTTGGAGTTATAGATGCGCACTAGCGTCACGCAATTGGGACGCTTCTTATTGCTGCTGCCGAAGACAACGATGCCGCATTCATTTTTCCCAGCGAGGAATTCTATACCCTCTACACTCTCGAATGGGTGAATGTTTTCGTTTTTCTTACGGAAAAGGACTGAATGAGGTTTCGTGAGGGCGTGGAAGGTTTTGAGGACGTGGTTCAGAGGTTGGGGACATTTTGGGCCGTGGAGTAGTAGGGTGCGTTTGACCGGCTCGATGAGTTGCGGTTCCCGCGCCTTGAGGATACGTGCAGTGCGCGGGTTTTTTGGTTTTCTATGAAGGTATCGTGTTAGCTTTGCTGGGTAAATAAATTGTTTTGGTTGTCGTTGGTCCTTTTTCGGTAGTAATGAAGAACAGATACGTTTCTGTGCGCAGGAATAATAACCACAACAATTGGAGGAATACGTACACTTCTCTAAGCATTTTGAGAATCAAGATACATGTATGTGCCTAAATATCCGTCCCCTGGGTTTTGCAGAAGTTGAGATCTCTCCGAGAGCAGGTCGGAGAGCTAGCCTAGAGTTCGCAAAATATTAATTATGCTTTTGATGCCAAGAAGTCTTCATATTTAGCTTTTAAAGAGATTTTGGTTAGCGCGGAAAAGAACCAGATAACGGCGGCTAGCAAGCAAACAATGCAAACCTCGGTGTACCACATCTCTCAAGTTGCTCGTTCGATATAGTAGACTGCCTAACATTCGTACGTGCTTATGGTTTCGATTCCGAGCCTCCTCTACGAAGGTCTGATCATCTTTGAGCTACAATATCCATGAGAATGAAAATGGGTAATAATACACAAGGAGAATCGGAACCAATCAAGATTCCAGAAGGACAGGCTTGTTACTGGGAATGAGATCACACAACTAGATTGGCACGATACGGAAACAAACCGGCCAATTTACGAAAGAAGAGGAGACACACGGAAATTGTGGCGCCGCACCATGAGTTTCAGCTCTTGGTTGTTGAAACTGCGATCCCTTTCCGAGCTCAGGAATATAGTGGGGGGGTTCCCAGGCCACCTAACCTATGGCCGCGGTCCAGTTAAAGCATCCCTAAGCTAGCCGCTAAAGTTTGCCCGGCCTTAGCGGCGCTTCACAATGCATAGTCATACAGGACAGATAAGGATATGAGACTCACAAAGCATCCATGAACCAATCCATGGAATTGTGTCCACCGGTTTTCGTTGACACCGTTTCCCACCATACATCCCTTACAAAAGAATTTATTGCATGAATTGCGGGGGTTTTAACCGCAAGTCCCAGCCAACAACGTTCGCGTAAAGAACCATCACTCAGCTTGTCCGACGAGAGATCACATAATTCTCGTGGATGGCAGCTTAATACCTTGAATTCTCTTTCAATGGTTATAGGTATGACCATGCAATAGGGATCTAGCTGGGCCAGTGTTAGGGAGCATATATCTTCACGGCTGAGGTTTTCGAGCTGAGACAACCCCTGTTTGAGACCTCAAGAGCCTCAATGCGTTATTGCTACATCTCCCAACGATGATACAACCGACTGCATGGCAGAGTATCTCTTCCTCAGACAACTCATGATAGTCTAGGCCATCATGATACCGTTGATATATGACCATTGACCGTTTACGAATCTGAAAGCCAGGTTGAACGGCGAACCACTGCCTTCAAGAAATTGGCTGGCAGTCTGGCTTAATTTCCTCTCCCTCTCTCAGAAGGAAACCCTCTCTATCTCTCTCTGTAACTACGATTAACCTGGTGTTGGCCGCCAAATGAAGTTTTTCCTCATGTCTATCCTTTTTGTTTGAACTTCGCAAATAGTGCTTCCATTAGTTGTATTTCGATTTGTCGTTCGTTGCCGTCGCCATCGGCTGTTATATCTCTTTCCGACCCAGACTGGGATAGCAGTCAATTTTCCGTTCAATATACTCAAGTTCTCAGACTGCTATGAAAGTTGGCTTGTGGATTACTGCTGTTTAAATTTGTCTACTCACTCCAGCGGTACGGTGGGTTGGAGCCGGAGCTCAACACCTTCAAGGCCGTGAGGTTCCTAGGACCTGCGAAAAGAAAATGAAAAGACTCTTCAACAGGGTGTGCCTTCTGCTCGTATTGGTTGGGATATCAGGAGTATGTTCTGCAATGTGGCCTCACAACAGGATGCAACTAATAGAGTCTACTTATAGGGGTTAACAAACGCAAGAATACTAGGCCCGAGAGAACACCAGAAATTCTCCCAGCAGGTAGAATTCTTAAGCCAAAAATGCGCTATGATTTTTTTCGTTCTAACTCTGTTCTAGGGAAAGGATCTTCAATCAAACAATTTATTACGCTCTCGGTCATCAAATGTATTTGTAAAACCCCCTTCAATGAATCGTGACGAAGCTGACAATCGTAGGGCCACATAATCGGTGCCGCTGGCGTTGCGGTACCTCCAACCCATAACAGCGTAACATTTAATGAGGGTGGCATCGTTATCAATGTTATAAATTCGGGGGACAGCCCCAACGTTCACGGACAAGACCAAGGGCACGCCTCACTGTTTCCCCCAGCACGTTCTCTTGCAAATTCTCCAGAGCTAGTAGCATTCGAATCCCCCTCTCGCACTACACTCCTGACACAGTCTGTCGGGCAATCCCCATCATCAATATCTCCGGAGCTTGCAGCAGAGCCGTCAGGCAATGCTTCAATACGGTTTCCACCTGCTCCTCGAAACCAAACAGCGCCATTTGCGATTCCGACTACACAAGTACAGCAGTCTGATATTGCTGCGGATGCCTGTGATTGCCAGTGTCTTTGTCCGTTTCACTTTTTCAGCATTCCTGCTATGAATTTGGCATCAACAGTCGATATGGGAGATGTACCACCACCGACAACGCTCGCCACTATCGTTTCTCCATCTGTTCCAGGGGATCAAGTTTCCAGCACCGCAGCTGCAGCGCCATTTTTCCCTCCGGCCAATAGTATAGCAACCTCTAGCTCGGTCTCTCCGACGATTCCAGACCTTCAAGCCTCGAGCGTACCAGCAGTGCCCATACCCCCTCTAGCTCTACCGAAACCGTCAGAGGACAGTATCATAACCGCGACTGATACATTTATATCCTCAGTGAGAGATGCGACTAGGAGTGCTGTTGAGTTTGTAACGCCAAACGAGCCAGTGCCTGCGCCACCGAGAGAGACAGCGGTGACAAATACAGAGGTCACTCAACCAATAACGACAGAAACGGATGTGACGCAGCCAGTGGAAACGGAAGTTGAACCAACGCCGAATGTTGCCGTATCCCCAGAGGACCCAGCAACCATAACGGACGCAGACTTCACACAACAAGCAACAGAGAATGCGGACGTGAGCGCTACCGCAGTTGATGCACCCGCAGAAACAGATGCAGATTCCACTCAGATGGGGATAACACAAGCGCCAACGGAAACGGCGGCACCAGAGGTGGATCCAGTGGCAGCGGAGAGGTTTGACATCAGCACAATGTCACTTCATAGCGTGTTAACATTGAGACTTGGGGGATAGTATGGATAGTGTTCAAGGGGAAGTTGACTATAGAGCCGAAACCAATAGCATGTTCAATCGGCATTATTGGGAGGACCAGGCAGGTCTTGCGCTTTTCTTTCCATATTTTTTTCCCTTTTTTTTAAGGTGTTCGTTGAAATTGTATACCTACTATCTGGTAGTTGGGTTAATATCTTCCTACTTTTTAATGCTGTGGATCATGATCTACTTCCATTTATATATTGTAGCCCTTCCGCTTTTTATTTCATTACATTATTAAATTTTGCTTTGCCGCACCGTCGGTTTAACCCAGTTCTATGTAGGATTCCGATATCCATTCAAGTTATACATGTCTATCCGGTAGTTTACAATACCATATTAACAGCAACGCCAAACCCCTAAGAATGTAAGAAAGAAAATGAGAAAGAAAAAAAATACAAGCAGGTCATTATGTTTTATCCTGCATCAGGCATCGGGGACGCTGTCGAATTATCATTAGAACCCGACCCCTGAAGCTTTGCCCGCTTGGCCCTTCGTTTCAGCTCACGTTTCGACAACGGCGCCTGGGATTCAGCATTCGACTCAGTCTCGGTATCAGCCTTCCTCTTCACCCCACTCCTATCCCCTTCATCCTTCCTACCCCTATTCTTATTCTTGTTACCATTTTTATCCTTCGTTTCCCTGACCTCCTTCACTGGCTTCTCTCCTCCATACACCACATCCACAATCCCCCTCCAGCTCCTCCGCTTCATCCCCGCCAACGCCACAACCTTCCTCGCCTCATCACACAGTGCCTCCTTCCCTCTTTCCTGCGTAAGCCCCCACACACAGGCCAAATTGATCACATCAAAGGGCGCCCGCACCCCCAACGCCCTCTTCGCCTCGCTCGAGATAATAATCCCCCGCCCACGCGTCGCGCGTATCAACGACGCGGCATTCCCAATCAGATTCCTGCGCGCCTCCGCGCCACTACCCGTTACGCCGGGGCCGTAGCAGATCTCCAAGCGGACGCCGCGCGCGATGGCAGCTGCGAGGGTTTTGAATTTGAAGTGGAAAGGGAGGCGGGAGGAGAGGTCAAGGGAAATTATGTCACAATCCAGACTGTTACAGGCGAGCGTGAGGCACTTTTCATTGAGGGGTCGTAGGGCGATGAGGGAGTATTGTTGTGCGAGAGGGGTGAGCCGCTGGTTTTGGGAGGGGTCAGAGACGTTGACGGTTATGCGGGTGAGGAGGGTGAGGGATTTGGGGGGGTTGGCGGGGAGAGGGGGCGGAGAGAGGTCTGCCGGGAGTTTTCCAGAGACGGATTGGGAGAGGGCTATGGTTGTGTAGCCGACTGTATTGTCCCGAGAAAGGCGAGGGGGTTAGCATGGCGGGTTGCTGATTGTAGAGCATATGCGCGGAAGGGAGTGAGTAAACTTACGTTCGGAGAGGAAAGCAAGGGTGTTAGGTATTTCAGAGTCGTTGGGCGCGTAAGGAACATTCAGATCGTAGAACATGATGGCTGCACCTTGCGATCCAGCCCGCCCTGCTCCCTATTATCGCGGTCTAGTCATTGATGTTTAGCAAGAAGAATCTACGTTAACTGGTTAACTATTTATTTAACCAACATAATCAAGCATATTTCCACGTGACTATCAAGCTCCCCGCAAACGTCCAGCAAAGGGAAAGGAAATTCTTCGGATCTTGGATCTTGGCTTGGTCCATTGAAGAAGGATAGAAGGAAAAAACTAATTTACATGTTCATTAGATCATAACCATACCCATGGGGCCTGTCGAGCACTAGCGAATCGCAAATTGCTCCACACAACATTATTTATTACTTCTCCCTGAACATTGAGACCATTGCAGGAACATCGGAGAGCAAAACGGTCCATTGTCAAAATAAGAAGTGAGAGGCGGGCGTCGGCACAGAATTCTTAAACATATGCAGCTTTCTTATGGCCGAGCGCGCGCCGCACCCTAGGGACCCAGCGTCCGTCAGATATTGCAAGCCAAAGGACAGGCAGGAGATGTATACCATCAGAAAAAGATATCGATCTTCTAGTTGAGGGTTAGGGAGTTCACAGGCATGATTCATTCTGTCTTAACAAAAACATCCATGCAGGGCGCGGGAAACCAATCGAGCCAATCAAGCCCCAACCCTTTGAAAGGTTGAAGCCAGCGTCAGAGTTAGCGACTCCAGGGCATCTTCCAGGGCTGGATTGCGCTGAGAAGAAGCAAGTCTGACTCGAAGTAGCCAATCGGATCACTAACTTACCGGATCAGACGTCGGCAATGCTTCATTATATATTAATAACACGAAATACAAACAGATCATTCTTTCTTGTCTTGACCTTTAGAACTGATAGAATGATGAGTTAACTATGAGAGTGTCTCATACGCTGCTTCCTGTGTTAGAAATCTTTCAACCTGTAAATTCCATATAATGTTCGGATTTTATTCAAGAATAAGATTCATTTCTCGTGTCCCTCAAATAACAAAATGGAGAGAAACTGGGAGAGGAAGGAAAGTAGATGAAATGTATCTCAGCCGCCTCGCATGTCTATGGTCGCCGAAACAAGGGCCATTTTCCATGGGATAGGCTCCGTAATTTTCTCAGATCCCCGGGGTCAAAGAGATACTACTTCTTTCCGCGTGGTTAAACTAGCAGCGCGTCCAAGAATTATTGTTTCGAGGTTGGATTGAGGTTTCTACCCCGAATGTATAACAAATCAAGGGATTTGTACAGCATTGGCCCTTCTACTGTGCCGACAGTGGGTTTAGGTAATTGTGGTTACTACCGCACCATTTGTACTGCCCTGATCGATAGAAGATTCAATTCTAGCATGTACTGTAGCTCCATCTATCTATCGCCCAGCAAAGCTTAGCTTTGGTTAAACCTCTAGTTAACCCCACATGATATATCTATTTACTACATATCAGCACAAAGTGTAGTTATAGTACATTACTCTAAGTTTCACTTACCACTGAGACAATTCCATATTTATGTAGGCTTTCCCGAGCTTCCAGGTGCAGCTCTCCTGGCGCTAGAATTCATTTTCGTAGAGGATTTATGCGAATGGGGAACAGCAAAAGACAAAAAGGATGTATGTCCCTGTCCCTGTCCTTGTTATGTTTATGTTGTTGTTGTTGGTCTTTGGCTGCAAGGTTCCGATGTTCAACGCTAATTCCCTTTTGATCTAGCTAGTTACCTACATGGTCCGTGCCCTCCGCGGGGTTTCTGCACCGTCATGTGACCTCGCGGCCTGAGCTCTTGTCGGTCGGTTGGGTCCGATGCCATTTTGCTGCTTCCTTTGCATATCTCGTTAATATTCTCTCTTGACTCCCTTTAGCTGCGGCGTCGGGCAACGCTTGTGCCCTGTTCGCATACAGCCTGCTACTTTACCTCTCCTGTTTTGTGTGTTTCTTGTTTATCTTGCCCGTTTGTGCCATTTTCACAAAATCGATCTGTGCGGCGGCGTTTCTTGGGATAGAGGGAGGTAAACCGGCATCATGGCGCGAGTCTATGCAGATGTGAATCAGCAAATGCCCAAGTCCTATTGGGACTATGACAGTGTAAACATATCCTGGGGTGTGTTGGAGAACTATGAGGTTGTGAGGAAAATTGGTATGTCCAATCCAAAGAAAAATCGCTGGTGCGCGGGGTCTGTGGTCGGCAGACTACGGAAAATGGGGAATGCTTCTTTCAGCAGTATAAATATATATATATATATATATATATATATATGCATGTATATATGGCACGCGGCTAACGTTGGGATTTTGCCTATTGAATAGGGCGCGGGAAATACTCGGAGGTTTTCGAGGGGATAAATGTGGTAAATTACCAAAAATGCGTCATCAAAGTGCTAAAGCCGGTGAAGAAGAAGAAGATCAAGAGAGAGATCAAGATCCTGCAGAATCTGTCTGGTGGGCCCAATGTCATACCTCTATTAGATGTCGTCCGCGACAGCCAGAGCAAAACCCCTAGCTTGGTTTTCGAATACGTCAACAACACCGACTTTCGAACGTTATACCCTCGATTTGTCGATTACGACGTGAGGTACTATATCTTTGAGCTATTGAAGGCTCTGGACTTTTGCCACAGCAAGGGCATAATGCATCGAGATGTGAAGCCCCACAACGTCATGATAGATCACGAACGTCGAAAAGTATGTCTCAGTTTCTGTCCCCCATGTCTCGATGAAATACCTCAATCCGTTATGCTAATTTCTTCCTTCCGTGATGCAGCTTCGGCTCATAGACTGGGGTTTGGCTGAGTTCTACCATCAGGGAATGGAATATAATGTCCGCGTCGCATCGAGATATTTCAAAGGACCCGAACTGCTCGTAGATTTTCAGGAATACGATTATTCGCTCGACATGTGGTCATTAGGGGCTATGTTTGCGTCGATGATATTCCGAAAAGAGCCTTTCTTCCATGGCAACAGCAACTCAGACCAATTGGTCAAAATCGCAAAAGTCTTGGGTACCGATGAGCTATTCGAATACCTCGACAAGTATGACATAGAGCTTGATCCTCAGTACGACGAAATTCTTTCGCGCTTCCCCAAAAAGAGCTGGCATTCTTTTGTCAATGCCGAAAATCAGAGATTTGTCAGCCCTGAAGCTATAGATTTCCTGGATAAATTGCTCAGATATGACCACGCTGTAAGAAGTATTTTTTTTTTTTTTTTTTTTTTATTATGTTTTTGAACCTCATGATATTCTCTCGCCATTTGAAGACCAAGGTGAGCTAACCATTTAATCCAGGATCGGCTCACTGCCCAAGAGGCCATGGCACACCCTTACTTCGCTCCTGTCCGAGCTGCCGCAACCCAAGCCCTCCAGAATAGCGGAACTCCTACTCACGCTTGATTCATCTCTCAGTGACTGGCCCGGATGCCCATTCATTCAACATTTTCCGTTACTATTTTTAAAGCCTGTATCTGGCTTCCGATTTTCATATTACGCATCTCTCTCACCTTATTCTCGTACGAAAGAAACCTGTCCTGGAAAGTGGAGCATTTAGCAATAGGTTTATGGCACGTCGTGACGTTACTTACGGACCTTCCAACATGACCATTCAAGGAGTATATGATGAAGAATTACTTTACGAACATTGTCATCTTGAATTTGTTGCATTCTTTCGCCTCTTTTCCTTTACCTTCTTCCTTTTTTATTCAAGTGGGTCTGTTGGATGCCTTTGCCATTTTTTATTCTTCTTCCTTATTTTTCGTTCCGGTTTCCTTTCGCCTTTTAATGTATAACGCGTAGAGAATCAATATGGTTTATTTTATCTCTATCATCCTTTCCCGTCTGACGTATTCTTTTGTAGCCTGTTTCATTCATTAAGAGTTAGCAGGTCATATACTCCGTAGATTTTGTCCACTATAAGACCCTGTGCACGTGACTCAACCAGACTTTTGACTCATCCTAAAAATCATCTGGAGTCCGCAGAAAAACAGTTCAGGAACCAGTAAACTTCTGTGAGTAACGATCGCTCATACTTTAACCATAATCATTTTGGTCCCTCAGAGTGATCGCTAATTAACTCACTGATCAACGTAGTGAATGTTGCCCTTGCGAGAGAAGGAGACAAAGGCGACAGCTCAACTTGGAAACCCCGGCACTACCCCTCTTGAAGCTCCAAGATACTTTTCCGACGAATAGTGACTCCGCGCTTTGCGCGATGGGCAATTGCTCCAACAACAAGACCAAGACCAAGACAAAATCCAAGATTATTTAGCATGGCGTCGAATCCAGCACAAAATACGCCTGGTAAGCGCTCCATGAGTGATTAAAGAAAATCTTCTCGTTTGAGAGTCAACAGAAACTGATTGTCAGGGCGTTTCCCATTTCACTCTCTAGCTCCGCAGCAAGCAGCCAACCCTACCCCTCCAGCCGAAAATGAAACCGTGAAAAGCGTGGCCATTGGAGCCCCGGGGGCCCAAAAGGAGAAATCTGAAAGAGAACGTATGTCATCCTGTTCATCAAATATGTTGCTCTTCAGCTTTTGGTTGCGGGGGTTTGTGAAGCGCATCTCGTTGCGGGGTACATTACTCGTGGAAAGGATAGAAGGTATGTATGGCTAACAGATATTTTGACACATAGTCGAGAAGGAACGGAAAAAGGCGGAGAAGATGAAGAAATTCGCTGAAAAGAAGGCCAAATCTGGCTCCGCCACTCCAACCGCTGCGCCCAAAACGTCTGAGAAGAAACCCAAAGTCGAGAAGGAGAAGAATGCCGACGCATATGATCCCCATACGATCGAGTCTGGGAGGTACGAGTGGTGGGAGAAGCAAGGCTTTTTCAAACCGGAGTTTGGACCGGATGGAAATGTCAAGGAAAAGGGGAAATTCGTCATTCCCATCCCGCCGCCAAACGTTACAGGGGACCTACATATGGGTCACGGTTTGACCAATGCTCTTCAGGATACGATGATCCGCTGGCAGCGGATGAAGGGAAAGACCGTCCTTTGGCTTCCAGGCTACGACCATGCTGGAATATCGACCCAGAGCGTTGTGGAGAAAATTCTGTGGAAGACTGAAGGCAAGAGCCGCCACGATGTGGGAAGGGAGGCTATGACTAACATGATCTGGGACTGGACGCACAAGTATCATGATAGCATTACCACGACCCTGAAAAGGCTAGGAGGTTCCTTCGATTGGACTAGGGAGGCCTTTACTATGGATGAGAACCTGTCTGCTGCAGTGACGGAGACGTTCGTTCGCCTGCATGAGGAAGGGACTATATACCGCGCAAACCGCCTCGTCAACTGGTGTGTGGCCTTGAATACCTCGCTGTCTAACCTTGAGGTGGAAAATAAAGAGCTTGAGGGCCGCACGTTACTCGATGTCCCAGGATATCAGAGGAAGGTGGAGTTTGGTGTCTTGACCCATTTCTTGTACCCGATTGATGGCACGGATGAAACCATCCAGGTTGCAACCACTCGTCCAGAAACCATGCTTGGTGATACTGGGATTGCAGTCCATCCTGATGACAAACGATATCAAAAATACGTAGGCAAATTCGCGAAGCATCCTTTCCTGGATCGATTGCTTCCAATTTTTGCTGACAACCAGGTCGACCCTGAATTCGGTACTGGTGCTGTCAAAATCACCCCGGCCCATGACTTCAACGATTTTATCCGCGGAAAAGATAATAAGCTGGAGTTCATTTCCATTATGAATGACGACGGTACTTTCAATGCCAACGCTGGCCCCTTTGCAGGTGTGAAGCGATTTGACGCAAGATATAAGGTCATTGAAGCACTGAAGGAAAAGGGCCTGTACGTTAAATGGGAGAATAACCCAATGAAGGTACCCATGTGTGCCAAGTCCAACGATGTCATTGAACCGATTTTGAAACCACAGTGGTGGATGAGCATGAAGGATCTCACTGGTCCCGCAATCAAGGCTGTCGAAAGTGGAGAAATAATAATTCGCCCCGAAACCGCCGAGAAGAGCTATTTCCGCTGGATGAATAACATTAATGACTGGTGTCTATCCCGCCAACTTTGGTGGGGTCACCAAGCCCCTGCTTACTTCGTCCAGCTTGAAGGTGAGCATGGCGATGACAGCGACGGCAATCTTTGGGTAGTTGGCCGCACGGAGGTTGAGGCGCAGCAGAAAGCTGAGGCCAAATTCGTTGGGAAAAAATTCACGCTCAAGAGGGATCCTGACGTACTAGATACATGGTTTTCCTCTGGTCTCTGGCCTTTTTCCACCCTGGGTTGGCCCAAGAATACCCCTGATTTTGAGAGGTTGTACCCTACCTCTGTGCTCGAGACTGGTTGGGATATTCTCTTCTTCTGGGTTGCTAGGATGATCATGCTTGGTCTCAAGATGACGGGCAAGGTTCCATTTACCGAAGTGTACTGCCACTCGTTAATTCGAGACTCTGAGGGAAGGAAAATGTCCAAGTCGCTGGGTAACGTGGTAAATCCTATCGATGTTATCGAGGGCATTGAGTTGCAAGTCCTACATGACAAACTGAAGCACGGCAATCTGGCCGAGAAAGAGATCGCTGCGGCCACGAGATATCAAAAGAAGGCGTTCCCCAAGGGTATTCCTGAGTGTGGAACTGATGCTCTTCGATTTGCACTTGTCTCTTATACCACCGGCGGTAAGTTATATTTGCACCACCTTATACTATTACACTAAAAATGACCCTCTAACGTTTTCTTCTACACTTTTAGGCGGTGATATCAATTTTGATATCCAGGTCATCCACGGCTACCGTAGATTCTGCAACAAGATCTATCAAGCTACGAGATACGTTCTCGGTAAGCTAGGCGAAGATTTCAAACCCCAGGCCACTCCCTCCAAAACCGGCAAAGAATCGCTCTCCGAACGCTGGATCCTTCACAAATTCAATAGCGCCGCTAAACTCGCCAACGAGAACCTGGAAAGCCGTGATTTCTCTGTCGCAGCCTCAGTCCTCTACCAATACTGGTATAGCCAGCTTTGTGACGTCTTTATCGAAAATTCTAAATCCCTTCTCCAAGCCGACGTCCCTGCTGAAGTCCAACAGTCTGCCAAGGAGACTCTGTATACCGCTCTCGAGGGCGCATTAACCCTGATTCACCCCATCATGCCATTCGTCACCGAAGAGCTCTGGCAACGTCTCCCCCGCCGCCCTAATGACGATACGCCGTCGATCATGAAAGCAGCGTACCCGGAATACAACCCAGCATTCGACGACGTTGCCGCTGAAACAGCCTACGAGCTCATCCTCGCCACGTCCAAGACAATCCGTAGTATCCTTTCCGAGTACGAGCTCAAGACCAAGAGCGACATCAAAATCCAAACCTACGACGCGACAAGCTACAAGACCGTCTCCGATGAAGTGCACCTCATAAAGTCCCTAGGTGGCAAGTATGTAGGCGAGATTGCTGTTCTCGATCCGGAGAGTCAGACTCCCCCTCCCGGCTGTGTGCTCTCTGTCGTGAGTGCGCAGGCTGCTGTTTACCTCCAGGTCTCTGATGAAGTGCGTTTGGAGCAAGAGGAGAAGGCCAAGGTGAGTCTTGCTAAGGCTCAGGAGGCAGTTAAGAGGCAGTTGGGGATTATGGGGTCAGCTGGGTGGAAGGAGAAGGTCAAGCCAGAAGTTAGAGCGTTGGAAGAGAAAAAGTTGCGGGATGCGGAGATTGAGGCGGCGAGACTTGAGGAGCATATTAAGGGGTTGGAGAAGCTGAAGATTTGAAGATTTGATGTTTACGGACTTTATTTTGATATACGGGTTCTTTTTGTTGGCTTTTTGGTGGATGGATGACGATGGTGCGACACAGTGACATAAAGGTATAAAGAAAGAAAGACGTAGTGTTTGGTAAAATCATATATTGCTTGCTGATTTTCTTCTCTACATCGCTACACCTTATAGGTTGCTGTCTTTATTGTGGTTTCTCTATATGTCGATACATCCAGATTTGCTCTCAGTATACTGCAGCGGCTGTGTATTGTGCCTGGAATATGATATGATCCTCAACTAACTTAATGTATGAAGTACTGTATGCACATGTCCTTGCATTAGCGTACTCTATAAGCTACATCATGCGTGCGTCAAGGTGGAAGGAGTATTCATCCTTTTTGAGCCCCACTCTATATATCCTCACATCATCAACCAACAGACTACATGTATCTAGTTTCCTTTACTCTTCAAACGCCAGAAAGTTGCCATGAATTATCCCCACCCTCTTTCAATCAGCATGTTCCATCTTCACACAAATGTGCGGGGTTATTTTTAGTATGCGCGTCATTATGTGCGTTTAGATAGCTGGGAAGCTATGTAGGGGTAGTTAGGTTATGTGCCAGCAAAAAGAAAAAAGAAAAAAAAATCATGAATGTTTACACCCCGGCCACCACTTTCTTGTCGACTCTAAACTTTGAGCAAGAGCTTTCAATGAAGGCTGCCAATGCAAAGCAGTTTTTTCCGCGTGATTATAACCTGGCTACACAGTCAGGAACTCCCGAGATGTCTTGCTTTGGGATTCCTTGGAAGTTCCGCCTCTGGATGATACCGTAGAGTAAGCTTTCCGGAATTAAATGTGAAGCCTACTACTACTATCTGTTCAGGACACTCGATCACATGCGGCATATAGAAATCATGTTGCATGAGAAAGGCGGGGAGGACGCCGAGTCAAGCGGATGCCAGTATTCTAAATAAAGGGTATAAACTTGGAATATTACAACGAATGCCTGATTCAGCATCCTTACTCTATACTAGCCAGCTATCAGAACTTATTCTAATACTCGCAAGAAGTAAGAGGATATTCAAAGTTATTTATGTATTTAACGTAGCAAGAAGCCACAGCGGGAAAAAGCAATTAGGTCTTGGAAGGTCACATGACATACTTGGTTTTGTTCTGCTATTCCAAGCCCGAGCGAGGGGACACACGATGCGCCAACCCTGGAAGCTGGACCTAGAAGTAAGCTCGATCCCGGGAAGAGTTCGTAGTTCGGGCCCGAATTGGAGTCGAGTTAGTTAGTGAAGGGACCGGCTGGAGATTCTTTTTGCCTGTGGGGTGGGAGCAAAGCGCAAAGCCAACTTTGGTGGACACTCCACCACCACCACCACCACCACCACCAACAACAACAACAACAGCAACAATCTTGCAACTGTTTTGCAACACGCTAAAGAAAGCTACCATCTAGTATCATTCAAGTCAGGAATGGCCTTCATGCCATGCAGAAGCTCAGAACAAAATGCTTTGTTATCAAACTAAGAAATTCGGTTTCCTGACACGCAGGAAGGAGTACAATGTACAGTACATACATTTACATGTACATGTACATGTACATGTACCTCCCTTGCACCTTTCCATTTACCCGGCTAGTTAGATACTATTCAACCAGGAAATATATGGGTAGTGTTAAAAGTTAATATACTCATCTTTTCCCTTTCCCCGGGGCGTTGACTCTGCTTCGTTTAAATACCCTACTATTGTTTCTGCTGCATGCTCAGGGTTACCTCGTCGTGCATTCAGCGTTGCAATAATGGTTTTTGTATAACCTTTCTCAAGAACCATTACACTGCAGGCCATGCTCCCCATATGAGACAATTGAGCTATCAAAATTAGCTAAACTTGTCATACGGGTTTACATTGTCAAAGAACTCTGCTGGAGCTCTGTTCTTCTATTTTCTATTTTCTATTTTCTTTCCTCTTATTATTTCTTTTCTTGCCTCTTAACGGCCCATGAATTCTGCTATGGTCGATCATCTGCTACATCTTATCATTCGTTAACAAGGGAGAAATTAAAGAGGACAAGTGAACAAAGCTGGCTTTTTTGCCTTGTTCTGCTATCTTTGAGTGCCGACATTGTCATACTCCATTTTTCTACCGCTGCGAAACTCATTACGGGATGGCACTATTTTAATTTGCCCTCCGGACTCGCTCTCTTGAATGAGAGTCACGAAGAGTTGTTACAGATTTGACAGAGGTATATCCTTTTTGTTAGAGCTGTCCTTTTCATTCATGGTCAACATTGCCATCCCGTTATCCCTTCTACACACTCCTCACCATGTAAAACACCCTACGGGGTTCTGAAACGGCCTCAGAATACCCTCTGCTTGCCCATTTTAAACTACGGTTGTTTTTAATCCAGTGACTCATTGATTTAAGAGACTAACCTCCTGCAGCATTCACATTCCATCCTCCTTGCGGTTCCCCTCTCATTATCCTAGATATCTTCTTGCGAATTGCTCTCAATATTCTTGACCCGACTTAACTTATAGACACTGGGGCATAGAACTAGCTAGGTTCACTCTTTAAGAGTAAGTTTAACACCATATACAGAACAATTTGTACTTTCCCTACTAAAAAGCAAATCCAATTAGTTTCACTCTGTTTTACAATGTGCCGTTGGTCGACAGCCCTGTATACCTGCGGCCACCGCTCCCCGCCCGTGCGTGTGGAAGAAGAGACATGCGAAGACAGCGCAAATTGTACTTATGACGGCTCAGATGCAACTTTCAAAGTCTCATACAAGTGCCGGCTTTGCGATCCATGGGAGGGCCCCCCATCACAATATCCACCTGCAGCAGCACCAGTTGCACCATCACAAGCACCAGCACCAGGACAGGCACCGGCTATGGCAACAGCTCCAAAGTCAACAACTACAACAAGAACAAAATCAAGATCAGTAGCAAAAACCCCATCGCCGCGGAGGTCATCGAAACGGAGAAGAAGAATAGGGAAAGCGATCAAAAGGGGATTCAAGAAAACGGCCATATGCATCTGCCAAAGAAAATAAACTGGGAAGAAAGGAGGGTTGGAATATTAGGAGAACAAGCTCGCTCACGGGAAATAAAACCTTGCATGGCTGTTGAACAGCCAGTTCCAGGAGGGACTGTTTTCGATAAAAAACTATAACCACGGCCCCCTCGATTGTCCATTTTTTGAAATGCAAAACGGAAAGGGCGTTTTACGGCTGCACAACACAATAATAATAAACAATACGGGAGTTTTGATGATATGGATTTAAATTTCTACGGGGTTGGGATCTGAGAGGAGGACTATAATAGCAGTGTTTACAGTTGACCCGCACAACGCCCTGGAAGATCAAGTGCTTCAAGCCATTTACTGGGATTGGGAGATATCATCCATGTGCTTTTGTCCTTTAGATGCAGACTGCGATTTAATTTCCTCGTCTTTACTTAGTCCACCGTTTGTCTGCGTGGTAATCTGCAAATTCTGGAAGGAGTAGGAGTAGGGGGGGGGGGGGGGGGGATGATGATGGGTGGGTGGGTTGTTCACACAGCAAGCTCAAGGCGCCAGGATAAGTTAATTTTGGCAAGCCAGTTCTAATCATGCATGCATGCATGCATGGACTCTGGTGCTCTGGTGTTTTGTGAAAGGCGTTGTCTATGGACTTGTGTTTTTTTTTCCTTTTTCAGGGGGGTTCCTTTCTTCGCTTATTTTCCATCTTGCTACTGTGCATTGAATGTATCAAAATTGTCTTTTAGTCCATTTCATTGGGCAGAGGGTCGCTGGTGGCATTGTGATATTTTTTCCCCCGTTTTTCTTTTAATGGTTTCATTTAAGTGTGGCATTTCCTCTTTTCTTTATCCGATTAAGTCTGGTTGTCTGGGTTGACCGGGGGTGTACAGTACTGTGGAATATTCAAGCAGTTGACATCCTTTTATATCACTTCCTAAAGTTTGATTAGTTATGAATTTATTTACAAAATTTGCCCTATCTGCTGGTAAGAAGAGATCAGTCAATACATAGGTCCGAAACTGACACCGTCTCAGTGCACGACGGACAAATGAAATAAAAACTCCCATGAAAAAAAAAGACCATTCATGAGGTGCAAAACGTAATATTGAGCAGCAAACAGAAATGGCAGACATTACGCATTACGATAAAACGTGAGGATTTGAAGGTCATTCAGGGCGCATTTCGTCAAGGAGCGTAAAAAGTTGAAAGAGAAAAAAAAAAGAAGAGAAAAAGAAGAGTGAAAGAGGTTGACGTTTGCCAATAATGGATGGAAACAACATCATAAAGATATTCACACGAAAAGAAGAGCACAGACAAAAAAATATAAAAATAAAAATAAAAAAAGGGAGAGACGTCAGAAATTAAATAAAAAGGAGAAACAAAGAAAACGGCCGCTTCATTTCCGGTTCAGAAACGAATTGACGATATGGAAAGAAAGAGAAGAATAAATGAGACAGGGGACGGAAAACAAAGGCAAATAGAGAGAGGCAAAATGTAATGTACCACAAGGGCATCATTGCTTTTTAAAAGAAAGCCCCTCCTACTTTCTTCCCCCTACACCCCTTCGAGCATTAACCCCTTCTCGCTCATTCGCCTCCGCAGCCAATCTCCTCCAGTACTCCAATCCAGCATGGAACGCAACGCTAGGCCGTTGATACCCAACCTCCACAACCGGTCCTGTGGGCCCGTAATTCCGCGCCTGTGAAGAAGTAGGTTGTAGAGACGTGGAGTGTGAAAATCGCCCACGATTCGGTATCTCACCCAGCTTTGTGCTACCAGACGACACTGACATTGAGGACGCCACTGCTGGGCATCCTCCAGCTCCTGCCCTCCCACGTGGTGGTTGCAGGTTTTGTGACAGGGGCACAAGAGGGGAGAGTGGTGGCATGTCCTTCCGAAGCACTCTTGAAATAGAAGGTGCTGCTGCTGCTGCCGTTCTTCTATTATCAGTACTTATGACCGTTGTGCGGATGGAGGAAGGTAGCTGTTGTCCCCGGTGGTCCCGCCCGCTGAATTGGAAGTCTCCCTCGTTATTTGGGGATCTCCTGTGTTGCTGGAGATGTGCAAAAGCCGGGTGGCCCTGATTATGCTCCATGTCGCATTGCTTTATCATATTTGGCAGCTTTTTTGGAGCTTGCTGTGCTGGGTGCTGGCTTGTAACCGCTGTTGTTGCCAGTGATATGGAGGACCCCTTTCTCGACCGAATCCACATTCCCCTGAACGCCTGGTTGCTGGACGCTATATTCGAAGCTGGTTTCGGCGGTGATCCTGCTACGTTCTTTTTGACTTGGGTTGTCGTCGTTGTGGGCCGTCTCGCAGCGCTTTGGGGTCGACATTTGTCTTCGGCTTTACTACTCTTCCCTGACCTCTGTCGGGACAACGATCTACTGCGTTGTCTCTCTTTCTGTCCCGCAGGTATCATTGCTGATTTAGGCGCTGGGGTGGATGCGCTTATGAGGCGCTGTCGGAGTTCATCGAGAGCAGTTATTGCATCTGCCGCCGCAGAATCGGAGAGAGAAAGTAAAGACCGTCGATCAACAGTTCCTGCACAGTTGTATCCCTGTCCATCACTGGACAGACACGATGCTATAAGTTTCATCAAACCAGCGTTCAGTATTAATAATGTATGGGCAAGAGAGCCGTGAGCAAGCTCTAGGCAAAATTAGATGTTAGCATATGAAAACTGACAATAACTTCAGATATATACCGATCAGAAAAACAAAAATGGAATTATGTACCATCTCCCTTTTTGAAGCGTTCCCCTAATCTTTGCACGCTTTGATCATACTCCCTCTTGATTTCAGCAGGTCCCCTTTCCAATGATGCCTGGATTCGCAGATCATCGATATCTTCGCTTCGAACGGGAACCGCCGCATCATTTGTATTCCTTCGCTTTTTCTTTCGGGAGCCGTGGGTTCTTAGATTTCGCTTGGATTTATCCGTTCCCGTTCTTTTGAGATCCTTCTTTTGCTGGACGCGATTGAAGAGGTCCCTCCCATTCCCAAAGGCAGCCAGGATCGAAGTCACAACCGTGGATATGTCCATATTTGTGATGTTGTATCCTCTTCGTTGGATATCCCCTATATATTTATATCCCTCCACCGCGCGAGGTCGGTCGACGAAGTAAAGTAGAAAGCGGAATTCCGCAGGAAGAATATAAACATCAGTTTAAGAAACGAGAGTCAGAGCCACCACTCGACGGACAAGGAATAGCAAGTGATGCCAAAACCAACCTTCCTACACATAGGAAAGGAGAAGGCAAAGGAAAAGCAATGGGGAGCAATTGGCTCTTCAAACAGGGCTACAAATCCACGGCTCTCAGAAATTGGAAGCTGTCGAGGAGAAAAGCGAACAACCACGGGGCAAATTCCATTGAAGCAGAGTCGTTGGAACGAAGCCTTACTCCCTCCCTCCACAGCCCTCTAGCGGCCTTCGTGTTAAATAGAGTCTGGCGCTTCGAGCATGGTGGTCTCCTCCTCCTCACCCCTGCCGTGCCGTGCTTAAGTGCGCGCGCTGGTGCTGCAGCCCAGTCCAGTTAGATTCTGCAGGCCACGACTGTCTTCCCATGACCCGACGCCACGTTCCGCGAGCAGTCGGCCAGTCAGGATCAAAAAGAGCCGTTTGGCGAACGGATTTTTTGAGGCGATCCGACCCATACCTATTTGAAGGGAACGCTCGCACACCCTCGGCTTGTTGGAAGAAGTTAAACCGGAATATGTTCCAAGTGGTCGGTTATCCTCTTTCCTTGTGATCTTGTGCGTTGCAAGATTAAAGGATAGTTCGTGGATGATTGTGGGGGAAAAGGTAGCTAGAATGTTGAATATTATGCGAAGATGAGTGGTTGGTGTGTGGATGTGTGGATGTTTCTTGTCTGCTTCCCTTCCAATGAGCAGCCGTTGAACATGTTTCCTCTCACCATTTGTGCCGCAGAAGATAGCTTTCATCTCGACTCAGAAGAGTTACTTATTATTTATTTAGGCGACTTGTAAAACCCGCTAGAGTCGGGCGCAAACCCATCTGCGTGTAAATATTTCAGTCGGGTCGAAAATGCCTAGTTAGTTCCCTTTCAAAAAAAAAAAAAAAAAAAAAAAAAAAAAAAAAAAAAAAAAAAAAAAGAAGAAGAAGAAGAAGAAGAAGAGAGACACTGTACACTGTAACTCACATCATTGCAGAAAACATTTCCAACCCATTCACAGGCCTCCGGTACCTACGTTAATGCTTTAATGCTCTCTGCCCTCGCGCATCCATCCCTCTCCACCGCAGAAATAGACAAGGAACTGATGAATAAATCTTTCCCCGGAATCTTGGTGACGGCCCTGTTGGCTCTTACTTATGAAACATAAGAACTAATACCTTTTTTTTGAGGAAAGTTTTCCGATGTATGGGGAACATACATACTTGCAGTAAATATGTAACTAACTATATGAGGCATGCAATCAGGTTCCAGCGATTGATGCCCCGACAAACACCAACCCCGAAGACAAATAAGGGGAGGCTTGTATATTCGGAGAAAGAACTCAAAGAGCTCCCTACACAAAAATATGTCTGTCTATGTATGTATATCGGTGGAAGAATCAAGGCTCGATGAGATTCCTACTATGATCCCCCATGTCTGTCTGCATTCCCCTCATTCTATCCGCCACACCTCTCCTCGTTTCCTTTTAAATAAAAACAGGTTGCCAGTTGAACATAAAGAAATATATAATAAGAAAACCAGTAATGGCAGGGAGTAAAATAATAATTGACAACACATTGGCATGAACTTCAGGTAAAAGATGTATATGGACTGGTGAAATGAAGAACCCCCACTGAGACCCCGCTGGCAAGAAAAAGAAAAGCAAAGGCCCTGTTTTTGTTCATTTAGATATCAAATAAATAAATAGTAATGAAACATGAAACATGAAACATGAACACACTCACACACACACACACTCACACATACACATACGAAATTATAGACAGGGAATTTGAATTAAAAGAAATTGTGGAATCCACCACATCCCATATACGATTAGCCAGTAAATAACTGACGCAAAATAGGGGAACGGAAAAATACAAAACTAATCCGTCACCTTAAACACCTCACCTGCTCCTTTTCCCATTTTCCCCGCGGCATCATCACCACCACCACCACCACCCTGAACAATAAGAACCCTCAACTCCCCATCCATCCAATCCACCGTACTAACCTTGCCCAGCGCAACCATCCACTCCGCATCCGTCTGCACATCCACCAGCCCTTCCTCCAACCATACTTTGACGGGTAAAGTCGGCTCCTCAACAAGGGCCGCAGCAGCCTGCTGCGCGTGCAGGGACTGGTGGCCGTTCTGATGCTGTTGCTGGAACTGGATGTGGTGCTCGCGTGCCTTTTGGAGCAGGCTGGCTAGATCAGGGCACTGGTCGGCGGAAATGTCGAGGCGGGGGATGAGGCGTTTGGTGCCCTTGGTGCTGGGGTTAGTGGTGTTGATGTGGATGGTTATTTGGTGGGCTGGGATTTGCGGGGCCGTTGTGGTGGTCGTTGTTGAGGTCGCGGGTGATGTTGAGGGTGGTGAGGGTTGTTGCTGTTGTTGCTGTTGTTGTTGCTGTTGCTGGTTGAGGATCGTATCACGGATGAGATGGGTCACGTCGCGAGTTATTCCCGTCGCACTGTCGGTAGAAGAGTTAGCAAAGGTCCTTACCATGTCTTATAGGTGTAGTAGAAATCATAAGGGGTAACAGTAACAAAAAAAAAAACAGAAGTATAGAAACTCACAAGTAATTCCTCGCCGCCAAATCTTCCGTCTGTAACGGGCCACCCGCACTTCCCATCCCCACCCTCCATCCAGCCTGCGACACACTATCCGACGAAACAATATGATTGATAGTACATTCCTCACAATCTCTACTACAATCTGAGGCATTTCCCGAGTGGTAAATCTGATAATGGCTGTCAATCGCAGCAACAAGACCCCACCAATCCGCCTGTTGCAGACCGGATATGGAACCCAGGTTATCCAACCGGTAATCTATATTGTAATTATCATAGGACCGCGCGATCGACTCCCAATCAGTTGGATACCCTTCAGTTAACAGGTCCAGTAACCCCAGCTCCATCTCCGAACCGCCATGGTGTTGCTGCTGTTGCTGCTGTTGATGCTGCTGCTGCTGCTGTGACGCGAACCCACGTTCCGGCGTGAGAGTCGAAATGCCCTCCCCCATCTGCCTCCTCTTCTTCTTTTCCTCCGCACCCGCCCCACCCTTCCTCGTCTCAATCGCATACTGCCTCTGCCGCTCATTCGTAACCATCCGCCGAAGCAACGGCATAACGAGCGAAATAATCCTCTGCTCATCCCTCGGCCAAACCAACGGCGGCCTTGACTCCACGCCAACACCCAACCCCATCCCCATTCCGACCCCCATCATCCCAGCTCCACCACCACCACCAGCAGTACCAGAACCATGACCCCCCATCCCAACCCCAACCCCTTCCCCAAAAAACCGCTCCCCATTCCCCTCCCTATCCAAAAACTCCCTCACACAATTCCACAGCCGTAGCTTAACCATCTCCGTATCCCCCTTCCCCCTCTGACCCACACAATCGCGTCTCTCCGGATGTGCCGGGTCAAGCATATATGCCTTCGCCGCGGCCTGCAGGTGCAAGAAGTTCTCCGGCGACAGGCCCAGCGAGGAGAACATCTTCGACATGGGCGGGCGCGTGTATTTCTTGCTGGTGGCGGAGGGTTGGCGGAAGAGGGCGGCGGCGGAATGGACCCCCGCTGCGCGCGCGTCAGATAACGCTTGTTGCGGTGGTAGCTCGCGGATATCGAGACCGTGGCTGTGGCCGTGGCCGCCTCCGTTCCGATTTCCGTCCGTGATCATGTGGTGGTCGTCCTCGGTTCCTGCACCGGCACCAGTAGCACCAGCAGCACCACTGTTCGCAACAGCAGCAGAGCCATCATCATACTCCCCCTCCGCCGCCACGCCACCAGTCATAGCCGGATCGACATTGGCAGCAGTAGTTCCCGCCCGCTTCCGTTTCCTAGGCAGGGCCGTCTCGACCCTACCAACATTCGCATGGCGCATCTGTCTCGTCGCCGCCGCAGCAGTAGCAGCTGCGGCAGTAGTTGTCGACACACCAACCACAGACCCATTCCCATGTCCCGTTCCATGCCCTGCCCCCGCCCCCGTCCCAGCAGACATCCCGCTAAAATGCACCTGCCCATTCCCCGTCGGGTCGCCCACGAACCCATCATCCAAATGTAACGCCCCACCCGCGCCACCAGCCACAGCATTGGAGCCCGGATACCCGTCGAGATGGTTCTGCAGCGCGCGCCCATGGCCCATCATGCTCGCATCTCCGTCCTCATTCTGCGCCCAGCTGACATCTTGTCCCGCGGCGGCAGTGGCGGCCTCTACAAGGCCTGCCAGGTGATTATCGGCAGCATAGCCGGCAGCGGCACTGGCGGCGACGGCTAGGCTGTGTTGTTGCTGTTGCTGCTGTGCGCTGTTAGAGAGGTGGTGATGGGGGGGTGGGAAGTCGGGGTTCGAGGGTTGGGATTGTTGTGGTTGTTGCTGTTGCTGTTGCTGTTGCTGATGCTGATGCTGAGAGGTTGAAGTCATATCTGGAAGCCTTTCGAGTATACAATTATTTTTGCAGCGCGTAAAGCGGGGAAGATGGGATAAGATAGCTAGAGCTATAGACAGCAGCAGATGAGGTTACTTTATTCTAAAAAGTACATTTTAGTCAAAAGATACCGTGGCTCCGCGACGGTTGCGGAGAAGGAATAGAACTCACCTGGTTATATTGTTAACCGCACAACCCAAATTCGCAACGTCCGTGGCCCCGTTCAACAAGCCTCACAAGAGCTCAAAATCTTCCCAAAGCGCATTGCAGGCGCAAAAAGTGTAATTCAGTTATCTATTCTTCCCTCTCCTACGTACCCCCAGTTTATGTATGTATATACCTCCAAACCGAATCCGTTTAGTTTGAGTTATTCAATTGGAATATCAAAAACTGCAACTCCCACGATCTTTTTCCGTGTCGAGCGGGGAGGCGTCAAAGCAAATTCGAACAGTGGCGAGATGGGCCAAACGCGTAAAATAATAATTTTTTATTTTTTTTAAATAAAGGAAAGCTCTGATCAATGAAGCCGTGAGCAGCTTTCCCGCGATATATAGATCGATAATACAACGTTTGGTGATAGACGGTTTGAGATGTTTGTCGTGTTTGAATTGATTGCAGGCGCGGGAAAAAATGGGAAGAATCCAGTGAAGTAGTTACGGCTAGGCTTCTTTGGGCATTCACGTGGCACCTTATGTAAAATGTTAGTCATTGAAACGGGGATTTGTTAAAGCTTATTATTAATCAATATCAATCTTCTGTTGGGGGTCCCGCGGTTGGTCGGCCCTTCTACCAGCAGTGCGCTGGTGGTGATTGAGCTCTTTTGCCCCAGTAGCCTACATCTTCAACAGCAGGAGTGAGTAACAGTAGAGTAGTATAAGTATGAATAACAATAACAATAATCAGTGATAATAATACAATAAAATCAAGTTAAAAATCAAAGCCAATCTAATATAACAAGCTCATGAAACAAAAGATATTATCAACAGAAGAAAAGCGGACAAGATAATTAGTAACTAAATGTAAAAGATTCAAGAATAAAAAAGAGGCTGTTTGTTTCACCTCAATCAACCCATGAACGCCTGAATGTACAGATTATCAAATATAAAAAATTACAAAAAATAAAATTAGTATGATCATGAAATGTAGCCCAAAAACACTGTACATACAGAGTACAGTACTTCATAAATGAGACCGAACCCAAGAGCACGGCGCCCTAACATGAACCTCCTCCATCAAATGACAAATGGAGACAATATCCAATAACTAAATAAGTCCCGGGGGCTAAACAAAGCCAACCAATGCTTTCCAGGCCTAGGGGAACACCTGGCCAAATGTCTATTTTCATTTCACATCACAACTCCCCGTTCTCCATCCCTTCCACCTCAAAAACGTTCGTTTTATAAAATATGAACGCGGTGGTTGATCCTCAACTCAGCTCAATCCTTTCCTTCGGACTTCTGCTGGATCCGAGTTTGATCATCCCTCTGGCTTTCGTGCGGTTGGAGAGATATGATCTGGCTGTACGGTGTACGCCGGATCCTGCCCTAGGGAGAGAGCAGGTCGAATCATGAGATGAGAGGAGGATAGTCAAAAAAGAAAAGCCGAAGCAAAAAGGAAAAGCAAAGGAATTGGACAAGGGTCATTTGAAACCAAAACACAACAAATGGGCAAAAAAACAAAAAACCAGTTTTGTGTATTTAACATCACATCCAACATTTTTACCCCGCCAAATTTGAATTTTATACCGTCGATTTGCGCCGTGATTTTGATACTTTTTTACCGGACTTTTTCCTTTCTCTTTTTTTCGTTTATTTCCCCCTGTTTCGCAAGTTTTTTTAAAACCCATCCCCCTCCTTCCACACTCTTCCAGCCTCCTCAGCACGTATTCGCGGATCTTTCCCCCGTTCCTTCGCCTGCTCAACCATCTTTGCCAACTCCTGCTTCTTGTCCTCTATCTCACGCTCCAGAACCTCATCTCTCCCGGGCTCAGGCTTCTCCAGTTTCTGAATCTCCTCGTCCGACAAGCCTTTCTCGATCGCCTCCTGAATCTCCTTACTTAACTCCTTCCATTTAAATAGTTCCCACTCCTTGGCACGTCTCTGGCGAGCGAGGTCAAAATATTCATCCAGTCCCTTAGCGCCACCAAAACATACGCCGAACCCGTCGCAGTAACACGCATGCTGCGCGGGACAGAAGACGTTCTTGCCCGTGAACACAACCTGCCAGAGATACTCCCACACGCGGCCGGAGATATAATTTTGCAGTTCCGTGCGCAGGATCCAATCGCGGTAGAAAACGTATCTAGATCTCGGGATGGCGCGCGCGCGCTCGCGGGAGACTGCGAATTGGGCGCAGCAGGCCTGCGACAGGACCGTGGGGACTTCCGCAAAGGGGAAAAGCTCACTCCACGCTTTCGCAAGGATTGCTTCCTCCGGCTTGCTGGGGTCCGCTTCTTCTTTTTCTGGGTGTATCCAGTCCGGGCAGCCGGGGACCCAGTTACAGCGCAGATTCATGTATCCGTCACGCATGACGCGTTCGCTGCTTAGCCTATTGATTAGTTCGGCGGCTTTGAAGTCTAACGGCTCTTCGTTGTGCCAGCTATTGCCGTGGGAATGCATGAATATCATGATGTCTGGGAGGTTGTCGTAGTGGTCGATGAGGTAGGTGAGGTAGACCATTGCTTCATTGCCCTTGTTGGCGGGCGGGTGGAGAGTTGCGGAAGGATCATCGACGACGTAAACGAACTGTTGCACATGCTGGACCTGGGAGGAGATCCAGCTGACGTCTTCCTTTTGTAGACGGGGGATGATCAAGGCTCTTGAGTAGTGGGAGCCGGGTGGTTTGGGAACTCCTGGGTTCAATATTAGAGTTACTGCGATATGGGTGATGTTGAAGTAGCGACGACTCTTCTTGTTGTTAGGAAGCGGGAGAACCAACCGGGGGAGAAGTGTGAGAAGTATCCCCGAGTGGGAGCTTTTTCTTCGGATGCATGTTCGATCAATGGGCCGGCGAAATTCCTGTGGTTTCTGGCGACGTGCCTATACCAGCTCAGAGTGACTAGGAAGGCAAGGATGGTGAGGAGAGCGAAAGGCCGCCGCACGAGGGCCAAAGGTCGTGAGTACATTATCGGATTGATTCATCCGTGGATATATATACCTCTATATATGGGGTTTGGGCGTCGTCACTTGTTTTGGATGACGATTATCGATTGACTATCTGGTTTCAAACACGCGGGATCCAGTGCCCCTTGCAGTGCCTCTTGTTTCCTTTATATTCGAACTTTCGAACTGCTTTGATCCCTTACCCCCGGTTTAGAATCGGAAGCCCAGGTAGGCAGGGGTTCGGTCTACTCTAGAAAGTGATTGAGCTAAAGTTAGTTAGGGGGGAAGGGTGGGATGTTGAGATGGAGGAACGATCAGCAAGGAGAAGGCATTCTGCCAGATACGAGGCGACCAGAACATTAAATGAAGCGCCGTCCAGCAGAATAACAGGACGAATAGCGGGAAATATTGTCTGTTGCATTTAAAACCATATATTAAAGAATAATAAGTATTATGTGGAAGCGAAGAGAACAAGACAACGGTGGGAGACGCTGAAGTGGGTTTAGCCGCATCCAGAGAGGCGAGGGCAAATTCCATGCGCATCGCAGTCCTGAGAGTGGAAGAAAGGGAATTTAAAAAATAAAAAAATTTAAAAAAATAAAAAAGAAAGGAAAGGAAAGGGGAAAGAAAGAGCAAAAGGAACCAAAGAAAGGGAAAAGAGGGAAAAGAACGTCCCCCCTGGCAGTAACGAGTGATGAGTGCTGTGCAACCAGGCAGAGGGGAAATATACGTAGAGGATATATATAGATAGAACACCGTGTACAGTACAGCGGACGCGCCAGTGTTCTCCGGTAAAGCCGAGTTTGCAAATATGGAAACGCATGAATCGTTCCCTTAGGTGGAATAACTCTGGTACGGTACGTACGCCTGTGTTAATATGTATGTAGTAACTGAGGTTGTTTGTTGCTCTCACAAGGGTTCTTTCTTGTCCATGCGAGAGCAACTCTGATGATGGCCATGGCTCATATATGTCATATATGGTTCGTCCTGATGAAAAGGAAAAGGTTGTATGTATTCTTTGTGCAGCCAAACCACTCCGTACATAAATAAACAAACAAATAACTACGAAGTAAGACAGATAAAAGAAAAGATCCAAGGATAGTAGCAGTCTGCATGCTCGGCCTGCCTGGGGTGGAGTTGGCGTAGCGGCGATCAACGCCTCAATCACTCTCACATTCCAGCCCGAGGTTGCGATTTTCATGACGTCGGGCAGGCATAGTAGCATCCAATGGAGAGTACTCGTACTCTTTTCTTTCTCCTTCAGCGTTCGGATATAAGGGCAATGCAGGTATCAGTACATCCGTGAATTCCAGCCGGGGAACCGTCGTGGCTTGACAGCTGAGCAGAGGCCATCTAGGATAGAAGGGTCAGCTTGGGAAGTAATATCTGTAAGCCGTGAAACAGGTGAATATGTAGGTAAGGACGAAAGGATTCTGCATCTAACATGCACTAGACGATTATTGCTCTTCTTCTTCTTCTTCTTCTTGAGATAGCCAATTAGCGGGGATGCGAAGACGATGCCTCGCTTCCTGCAACAAAGTAAAAGCCGTTGTCTATATGGGATTTAAGCGATTACAGGCAAACTACCATAGGTATAGTGCTTCTCCTCCGCAGTTCTGGATAGTTATGAATGTAGTTAGCCATGCAGATGTAGCAATTATAATAATTACTTAGATAACTAATGTTTGTGTGAGTGTATGAAATCAGAACCAGTTCATGGCTAGTAGCATCTCATTTGGCTCTCATAAGGCCACAAGCTATCATCTATCATAATAACATTAGATATCCCCCTCCACCGTCAGAATATCCAACAGATTAAAGTATACCCATTCCAGTTTATAATACATCAAGATCTGATTTTACAAGGACCTTCGGATAGTGCAATTTTAATAATTGCACTATGGTTATTAAAACCCACCTTGTAATGTATGTACTTGGCAGCTAGGTGATAGATATAGGATTTTATAATAAGCAACGAAAATGACAGAACCTATTTAGTTAGCGGGCACTAAAATGATGTCATACACTAAATAAGTCCCCCTAATAATAGGGCTGAAGTTGCCACAGCCAGTCAGTCCAGTCCAGTTCCATGGGTAACTAGCGGACGCCACCAATCCTCCTAATAATAAGCTTAAATTAGGCGCTAGCGTCCGTTGCCCACGCGCTTGGTCTGGACGTCGATATATCAAAAACAGCAGCATACTGGCTCCAGAGCAGGTCAAGGTTATTGACACACGAGACCCCAGCTGAATCTTGTTACTTTATTTGTTGATATTGAGAAGTCCCTCCTGCGCGGTGGTTAGTAGAGGCTGTGGAAAAAAAAAATATATATCTCCACGGGATATTCATTCATTTTCCGTGATTGAAGCTGTGTTTTTAATTACAAGGTTGTTGTATGATAATGACGATGATGCTAGCAGTCTGCCGGAGCAAGTGAGAGAAAGACATCGAATAGAGAATTGGAAGGGAAAAGGGTCCAGGTCAAGGTTGGAAGAAATTACTCGGGGGGAGAATCTGGTCAGAAGGCTATCTATCTCTGTCCTCCGTGGCCTATTCGGGAACGCGAAAAATGCTACCACAGTTAGGCCTGTAACTCATTTACTTCGATTGGTTGGGCGAATCT